AACAACTTAAAAACTTACTAACAAACTAAAAATAATCAATTGATTGCATTCTTAACAATTAACAACTTAACTAACAAAACTTATATACCAAACAACAACAACAACAACATCAAGAACAAATGCAAATAATGTCTTAACTTAACCTTCCCACCCGCTCTCTCAACTGTGTTTCTCTGTCCAAAAAAAAAAAAAACAAACGAAAAACAAAAATATATATTCGCATTGATTCGCTCGAATCACAACTATATATACATATATATTTATATATATGTATACAAATATATATATATTGCGTATACGCAACGTATTGCGGCGTATTGAACGATCGATTCTCTGATACAACCACCACCACCACCAAACCATCACCACAACCAACCAACCACCATCATCTCAAAAAATCTCAATCAAAAACAAAAAAAAACCTTATTCGAAAATCGAACTGAAATTGAATTGAAACCAAGAATGAGAAAAATCAAATTATGAAATCAAACGTTTGGTTACGTTTGGTTTGGTACGACTATCAGCTGCAATGGGATGAGGCTGACTACGGCGGAATCGGGGTGTTGCGTCTGCCCCCGGATAAGGTTTGGAAGCCGGACATTGTGCTCTTCAATAAGTGAGTAAATGGCTTTAACTCTACTAACTCAACCTCGCCAAAAACTCTCCACCAACTCTCTCTATCTCTCTCTCTCTCTCTGAATAAATAACTATATAATCTATTGTACAATGTGTTGAATGTTTACTGTACTTAGGAGTTCAGTCCGTAATCATGTCAGCTACTAATTCACCTCTCACTTTTTCCCCATGTCCAGTGCCGATGGCAACTACGAGGTGCGCTACAAGTCCAACGTCTTGATCTATCCCACGGGCGAGGTGCTCTGGGTTCCGCCCGCAATTTATCAGAGCTCCTGCACAATAGATGTCACCTACTTCCCGTTCGATCAGCAAACGTGCATCATGAAATTCGGCTCGTGGACGTTCAATGGCGATCAGGTCTCGCTGGCCCTGTACAACAATAAGAATTTCGTGGATCTGTCCGATTATTGGAAGTCGGGTACCTGGGATATTATCGAAGTGCCCGCTTATCTGAATGTCTATGAGGGCGATAGCAATCACCCAACCGAGACGGATATCACTTTTTACATTATCATCAGACGCAAAACTCTGTTCTACACGGTCAATTTAATTCTTCCCACGGTGCTGATCTCATTCCTTTGCGTGCTCGTCTTCTACTTGCCAGCAGAGGCGGGAGAAAAGGTACGCAAAATTGATTCGATTTGCTTTGGTTTCCTTCAGTCATATATATTTTGATCGTAGGTCACGCTAGGCATTAGCATTTTGCTGTCACTGGTTGTGTTCCTGTTGCTTGTGTCAAAGATCTTGCCACCTACATCGCTGGTGCTGCCGCTGATCGCCAAGTATTTGCTCTTCACCTTCATTATGAACACGGTGTCCATTCTCGTCACGGTCATCATTATCAATTGGAATTTCCGTGGACCGCGCACTCACCGCATGCCCATGTGGATACGTTCGGTGTTCCTGCACTATTTGCCCGCCTTTCTGCTAATGAAGCGTCCGCGCAAGACCCGCCTACGCTGGATGATGGAAATGCCCGGCATGAGCATGCCCGCCCATCCACATCCCTCTTACGGCTCGCCCGCCGAGTTGCCCAAGCATATCAGCGCGATTGGCGGCAAGCAGTCGAAAATGGAAGTGATGGAGCTCTCGGATCTGCATCATCCCAATTGCAAGATCAATCGCAAGGTGAACAGCGGCGCCGAGCTTGGCCTGGGCGATGGCTGTCGGCGCGAGAGCGAGTCCTCCGACTCCATACTGCTCTCCCCCGAGGCCAGCAAGGCAACGGAGGCGGTCGAATTCATAGCCGAGCATCTGCGCAACGAAGATCTCTACATACAGGTGGGTAGGGATAGTATGGACATGCCTTAGGGCATGTCTTGCAGGGCTTTAAATTCTTCCATTCTTTCATGTCCTTCACTTTGGCTACATCCCTCAATTGCTTCAACTGTTTCCATTATTTCAATTTCTTCTTAAAGGAATTGAAATAGTTGAAATAGGTAAACCTATGGAACGATCTGAAACATGTGGATGAGAACAAATAATGTTTCAATTCCATCTATTCCTTTTATTTTTTAACTGTTTCTATGCCGTCAATTTCTATACCTCTTTCAAATGTTTCAATTCCTTGAGCTCCCAAAACTCTTTCGACTCTTTCAACTTCTTCCACTCCACTCTCAACCCTTTTCAACTCTTTCCATTCCTTCAACTCTTCACAGACTCGCGAGGATTGGAAGTACGTGGCCATGGTGATCGATCGCTTGCAGCTGTATATTTTCTTCATTGTGACCACGGCGGGCACCATTGGCATACTGATGGATGCGCCACATATCTTCGAGTATGTCGATCAGGATCGCATCATTGAGATCTATCGTGGAAAGTAAGCAAGCCGAAGCCACACAACGCGCCACTCATTGGGGCACACAACTAAAAGGTTAAACATTGCAAACGCAACAATAAAAAACAAAAAAACAAAAAACAAAATGAAAACAAAAACGAAAACGATTTAAGCGGATTTTTAGATTTTAATATTTAATAGAAAAGTAAAAAACAAACACGAATTGGCAAATGCAAATTTTACCAACTATAAAAGTTAATAAAGACAATTATCTCATTAAAGCTTCGACATTTAGGCATAGAATTCACTAAAAGAATCAAATCAAACAAAGTTAATCAATCGCAACTAAATAAAATACAAAAAGCAAAAAAGAAAGCAAAGCAAAATCAACTAGTGGAATTGTGCAAGAGTTTTGTTTGTTAATACAATGTACGACTAATAAATAATAGAATTGGTTTAGTTTAAGCCGTAATGAACAGTGACAGCAGCGGGAGTGTTTTCAACTTGTTATGTTAGAAGGTTAAGCAAACGTATTTAAGATTAAAAACTAAACACAATTTGTAAATGCTTCACGCACAACAAACTATGAAAACACCCAAAATGAGTTGCCATAAGATTAAAAACCAAAATATTTCAAATATCGAACTTCAAATTTCAAATGAAAAATGAAAAATAAAATTGAAAAACCACAGCAAACACACATAAAAACCTGTAGACAGTACACCACAGCAAAGCCAAACAACACGAAAACCAATAAAAATGCAAAGTTAATTAATAAAAAAACAAAAACAAACAAACACAAACAAGCTAGCACGAGGCTGGCTTGTGGATACCCTGTACACATGCTTGACACCATGAACAATTTATTTAAAAATGTGTTTATTTTCCTATTCGTTAGGTAAAAGGAAATATTATTTTCAAATATTTAAGGAAAATCTAAATACGGAAACTTTGAGCTGAATTAAGCAATATTTCTGAGGAATCGCTTAACCAGGTTAACAGTATTCGGTTCTCTGCATTTCTTGCTTATAATAAGCTCATAAGATAAAGCAAACTAGGGAAACTGCCGCAGGAATGGATACTCCTGCACTTAGTGGTTTTCATACACTAAAACTAAGTCATGCAATGTGACATATAAGTAGTTTTTTTAGAGTTGTGCAGCTTTGAGCTGGCAGCGCTGCTTTATTTGATAGCTCAATTAACAGCCGAAAGTTGGCTTTTGTGGCGCCTGGTAAGACATTTTACTATTTGTAAAATGTACACCATAGCAATGGTTGCAAATTGTTGATAATGGTTCTGTTTGTCAAACTTATTGTGCAGTTCGTACATTTTATGGCCTAATGATGAAGGCCGTCTTTGGTTGAATTGATACGCATATAAGTAGAATTGTTGCATGTATTGAGAATAATCCTCGAGCTATTAACGAAACACTGAGGCTTGCTCTTTGATCTGCTTTATGGGCTGATGGAGTCATTGGTCCATATGTCTTCAAAGAGTATGATGTTTATGATTCTGGAGTTTGTATTAGTAGGTGTTTCAAATTACTTCTTATAAGCACCAACCGATCCTTCTTTCACTCAAAATTTAATGTCATAGATTGTTTTATTTATTACATTTCAATTTATTAATATAATAAATAGTTTTAAGTCCTTAATTATTATTTACACTTACGTAACTCTTAAAAAAACATCAAGAATGCGTCTTTTATGTGCCATAAACTTTTCATATTACCCTCGTGTTATATATTGTTGCACATGCGAATCTCTGTTTCTCTGTTTCACGTATTTTAGCTGATAAACAATATACCCATTTATATGCATTCAGCTGCCAATTGGGTATTCAAACACAAACTAAAAGAAAACTGGCTCAGCGCATTGCGCATTCGCCGCGTAACCCGCCTAGCTAATTGGCTTATTAATTAATTGATATTGGCATAATATTTATGCACCAGCTGGGCGGCTGTCAATTTAAATAAGCTATACAATTGTTGCCAATATAATAAATAACAGTAAATGCACACACACACACACCGAGAGAGATATGTCAGAAAGCATTTGCCGTTTTATTGAAGGCACGATTCGGTTGTTTAACCAACTTTGGCTATGATTCGCAAATGTCTAAAAATATGCAAATGCTTAGGTATTTCGCACCCACACGTTGTCATCTGTCTATACAATATTTATATATATCTGCGCCTATGAGCTGACGAGCAGCTGGATCGTAAGTATGGTTCCTGTTTAACACCTTCTAACCAGGGCCGAACGCCATAAAAACCCTAAGCACTTCGATAAAAACTAACTGGTACGCGTTGTTATTGACTTACAATCGTCGATGATTACCAGGCATCGTAATAGCTACAACAACAACAACAACAGTGGCAACAAAAGCAACATCTATAACTAACAAAGGTTGCAGCATCACGACGATGACGCTGCCTGAGCCAAGCTTCGCTTCGTCTCGTCTCGTCGGTGAGTCGAAACTTGTTAGCCGAGTGAAAAGCATTTGGGGGCCCCCGTCCATGGAGCCGCTCAGCTGGCGTAGGGGCTGCTGCGGTATAAATTCGCCAAGGGAGAACATATGGGCATCATTCGATTTTCTGATTTTGCAACGAAGACGTCGCTAGCTTCGCTCTGCACCCAGTCTCCAGTTTCCAAGTCTCTCAATTGTTCGTTCGGTTAACGTTTTGTGTTTCATTTCCAATTTGCACTCAACTGTGAGCAGCCGCGACCAATCTGTCAGCCAGCATGGTGAGTGGACAAGAGTGGTGCTCGCGGATTGATCTAGGTTTTTATTGTGCCTCTTGTTGTTCCTCTCGCAGCGCCTTCTGTTGGCCCTGGTGGCGGTGCTAGCTGCGGCCGGCGTCTCTGCGGATGTTTCGCATCTGGACACGGATTTGCGCGAGGATGGATATCATTATAAGCAGCCGTCGCAGCCGTTTCCGCCTCCGCCCACGGGCAATGGCATTGAGGATACGGGTGTGATTCCCGGACCAGGTCCTTCGGCACCGGCACCATCTTATGGCCCGCCGCAGACGCAACCACCACGTCCGCCACCGCAGCCTGCGCCTACAGCTCCGGGTCCTTCTTATGGTCCGCCACAGACGCAGCCACCACGCCCGCCACCGCAGCCTGTGCCAACAGCTCCTGGTCCTTCTTACGGACCACCGCAGACGCAACCGCCGCGCCCACCACCGCAGCCACAGCCTACTGCTCCCGGACCATCTTATGGACCACCTCAAACGCAGCCACCTCGCCAGCCGCCACAACCTGTGCCAACAGCACCAGGTCCTTCATATGGACCGCCCCAAACCCAACCTCCGCGTCCACCGCCACGACCGATACCCACGGCTCCGGGCCCTTCATACGGACCACCGCAAACTCAGCCACCGCGTCCGCAGCCACAGCCACAGCCTACAGCTCCGGGTCCGTCTTATGGTCCTCCACAGACTCAGCCTCCACCACCACCACCCGCCGGTCCGGAATATCTTCCGCCTGATCAACCTCAGCTGCCCAAACCACGTCCCACTCCGCAGCGTCCTCCACCACCTCCGCCACAGACCGAGTATGGCCCGCCACCGACGCGCCCTCAACCACCAAGTCCCCAACCACCAAGTCCACAACCACCAAGCCCCCAGCCACCGCGTCCGCAGCAACCTGGCGCTGAGTATTTGCCCCCATCTGGTCTCCCACCACCGCCCACTTATCAGCCACGCCCACCGCCAGCTAGCCCACCCGCACCACCCACCTATCAACCACGTCCACCTGCACCACCTGCACCACCTGCACCGACACCCGGTTACGTGCCACCTCCCGGACCTACCTATCAGCCACGCCCACCTGCACCACCAGCACCGCCGACATATCAGCCACGGCCTCCATCTCCGCCAGCTCCTCCAGTACCTACTCCCGGCTATGGTCCTCCTCCTCCTCCTCCTAGTCCGCCCGCACCACCCACTTACCAGCCACGGCCACCAGCACCGCCTGCACCACCTACCCAGGAGTATGGTCCTCCACCTTCTGGCCCACCAGCGCCGCCCACTTACCAGCCACGCCCACCGGCACCACCTGGTCCACCCGGACCACCCACGGACGCTGGTTCCTTGGGACCCGATGGCTACAACTACAACAAGCCTGCCAAGCCGTTTACCTTCTAGATGCTGCCAACCACCCAGACACACACATACTTACACTCTTAGTATTCTTAGCGTAAAGCTTTCTGGACCCAATTACTAGAGCCCCCGCACCCACCCGCCGGACTTTTTAGGGTACACTTTGTAAAGAAACCTTTGTAAAGCATCGCTTCCAAATAAAGTAAAATCTAAACACCAAAACCAATTACGAGTCGCTTGGTCGGTTGGTCCAGTGGTTGGCCTCCGTTTTTTGACAGCTGCTGACGCGTTCAAGATGGATGGCGAGAAGCCAGCTGAAAATATCAGCGGTTCAAGTGCATTAACAGCCGCCGGCCGGCAGTCGGGTCAAATCAATCAGCGATGCAATAGTTGCAGTTATAGATGGAGCTGCATAGGCGGAAACTCAAACAGCGTTTAATGTTTATCAAATTGCTTTGTAAATCCATAAATACATAAATCCACAAATAGCACTAGAGTGGTGCAGTGGTGCAAGCTGTTAACGCCATACTTGGGCACGCATTCAAGGCGACAAAATCAATAGAAGCGAGTCGAGCGAATCACTTGTGTTGCTCTCAATGATGCTGATGACGACGACGACGACTCAATTCCCACCAGCTGTCAGCCAGTTCATCAGTCAATCAGTCCATCAGTCATTCAATCACTTAGTCATTTAGTCAATCTGTTCATATGTCAGGCGCTTAGTCAATAAATTGTAGCTGCTTTGTTCATTAAGCTTCTCATTTTGGCGCCCGAAAAAGTGCAACTGCAACTGCAACTGGTTGTGCAATGCTCTGGCTGCCACAGGGCTTTGTTCCACACGCCAACACACATACATAATTACATAAGCATTAGAGGCATTTGGCCTTCGGAATGGCTGTAGCTGCAGCTGGACACAGAGCTGGGCTCTACTGGCTGATGCTGGGAGCTGACGAAGACACGCGCCCTTCGTCGCGACCCACTGGATTGCTTTTGATTAACGTCTTAACGAGTGTCTCTCTCGGGTGTGATTTATGTATTTTTCTGATACCCTGTAAATCATGTGATTGGCTAAGCATGGGGTATAAAAATTGTTGAATAATTAACAACTCGAGCTGAGAGTTTGCAAGACAGAATTTTTATAGAACAAGTCTTAGTTTATGTTGTGTTATATAAAAAATATATTTTCAATTGTGAATTTAGTGAAATCGATAAATATCGATTATCAAAGACAGACAACGGACTATAAATGCTCTATTAGCATAAATATTTCATGTCTTTGATAAGAAGACTTCATTTGCTAGTCGATAAAGGAGGTGTATGAGGACTATTTTATTATATGCTCTAGTCCCATACATTTTTGTCACATAGCTAGGTATTTGACGGTCGCGTATGCTCGGCTAGACTATTCCTACCTGTTGGTTTGATGTCTCTTTGTGGCTGCAGCTGCAGATTGTGGCGGACAGGCAGCTTGTAGCTAGCGTTTTTGCTTGATTTATGATTACAGCTATTGAGATTTTTGCGGCATGTCAAAAGATTCGGCACGCATTGTGCTGATTAGTTGGGAGATTCATTGTCTCTGCTCGGCTCAGAACAAGTTCATTAGTTCATCAAATGACCTTATCCAATTCTATGTAACGACACAGCTATGCCAAGCCGGAGCACAGTTTGAGACAAAGCCCGAGTATGACGCTCTCTGTCCATCCGGGTGTAATTTCCCAAACGAGTTATTCATATGCCGGCGTAGTCAGCCAGCGTTTAACACGCAAATGTAAATAATTTGAACAGTAAATGAATAACTAATACAATACAGAAAAAATGCCTTATTCGAATCGATCTCTGTATTTCTTCTCTGCGCTGATGTATCCATCTAGCTTAGCCCAGCGGCAAAATGTTTTTTATCTGCGCGCATATTAATCTCACTTCTTATTTTTGAGTCATGTAGCTAATCAAATTTATTTGTTAACAGACAAATTATAATTATGACTTAATCGATGCGGCAGGTACCATGGCAGAACCGTTTCGTCATGTTCTCTAATTACGTATACGCAACGTTAGCCCGCAGCGAACAACAAACGAAATCAGATTTTCGCAGGGCAACGCCTCTTGTAAATCAATCAAAGGCGAAATTGCCCTTGGCACAGAATTCTGCGGATTTCTACAATTCGGGCTGGCCGAACAAATAACACAAAAACTGAAAACCAACAACAAAACTTACAGAAGCAATAGTAGCCAGCAGACAGCAGCAGCCAGCACCTAACATTCAGCAGTCAGCAACGCACTTTACATTTTTTTAACACACAAACAAACATTGCGTATGATGATTTGTGTAGACGGGCCTGGCTGATAACTTATATGAAATAGTCCGTTCATATGAACGGACAGCAGCTGGCAAAAACAAATATGCTTCAAAGTCAGCCACGCATGAAATTCGTTAGCTCAATCATGATTGCGTGTATTTTGTGTTTGGATTGTGCTAAAAACAAATGTTGCTTAACTCAAGCCTAGAAGTATGCCTGAAACTTTTGAAAAATCTAAGCTTTAAGTTAATTGTTTAAGCCACTGCACAGCTTTAGTTGCTGCTTAAGGTTGGAATCCGAGCTGTTTTGAAAGTGAACTTGCTTTGAATACAACAAATTGTTATGAATGAATCGTTAAAAGCTGCTTGAGCAAAATACTACAGATATAAAGCAGTTAGTTAGGGAAATGATGACAAATTATAAATAAATATTATGCAAAACAAGGCGAAGGGAGACGACTGGTTTCAGAGAAACTCAGAACTTATTGGGCGACACAGTTCCAGATATGCAAATGGACTGTCAGCATAATCAAAATTTGCAGGCGCAGATTTATTCAACTTATTTCTTTTTATTTTTATTTATAAAATTTAAATATTAAATTAATTATTTTTTATTTATTATATTAATTATAAAATTAATACGTAATATTTTATTGAATCAACCATTTTTCTAAGCTTTGTCATGGCTATGATAGAAATCTGTTAACCTTGGCCCTTGGATGGGCATCTCTTGACCGTTTATCTCAAGCGCTCTCAGTCTTGGAGCTAGCCAGATTATGCCTCAACTAATTTGAAAACACGGCTTGAACGGCTTAATTTAAAGTTAAATTACAAATTAACAATGGGCAGATTCCCTATTTAGATTCTGTATTGGGCTTTGTCTACCAAATAGTTAAGAAAGCGATTTCAGAACTGTTTATGGCAGTCAATACAATGCTTGACCATTGTGAAGCTTAGAAAACCTGCCTGAAATATTGTAAGCTTTATTAGCATTTCTAAAAGTCTTTAAAAAAATATGTAAAATGAGAGAATTTACTAAAAGTTCCCCCAAAAAATATCTGTTAAAGAGCCTTTATTAAATCATCACATTTATGAGCAACCCCATTTTCTGAGACATATGGACCAGCCCTTAAAGCACTCCAAACATTAATTACCAGTGGATGTAATGATGCTTCGATAGAAGCTTGTGGATTATCCTTACTCCAAGCGCGAAACCTTTGATTATTTTCATCTCCTTTCAGCCATAAATTGGCTACTGCATTGTGCGCCATAATTTGGACGAAGTGCAGAATAAGTTTGACAAATAAAATCATTAATTTAATAACTAATTTCAACAATTTGTAAGCTTAATTGTTAAATGTCAACTTAATCTCAATAAAAATCAATTACCAGCTATTAAATGAATTGGCAAAAAAAACAGTGTTGGCAACTCAAAGTTGTTATACTCTAATAAAAATAATCCACTTTTACGTTTTTGTGTTTAAATTCCGTTTTAAGTGATCAAGCAGCTATGCCTTTGCTCTACATATATCAAAACTCTTGGACATCTTAGCTATAAGAAGCGGTTAAATATTCTTTATAAGAAACAAGGACTCGATTGCCATTAAATAAGTATTTTTGTACTCCATTCACAGTTAAGCTAATTTCATTTAATTAATGCAGCCCACTTCCTTGTGATTCGATTGTAATTAGCTGATATTAACAGAAATACAAATACAGAAAACGCTCACGCGCTTTTTTCTGCACAATTGCAGCGCATTAGCTGCAAATTAATCAATTGCTTTATAGACGTTTAACCACAATTAACCTTCTATGCGTTCAAGTGATTGCAAATAAATCAATATCTTTTCTAAGTAGCAGTTCCAAACAAAAAAAAAAAAACAACAACAACAACAGCAGCGAGAATTGGCAGCTGCGAATTATGAATTATAACCGAAGCGCGAACAAAATCGTTTAGCGGCAAAAAATGAAAAATTTGGCAATTAATAATGGCCATATTCCCGGCTTGTGAACAGCGGCTTATTAGTTGAGCCATTGTTTAAAAAATAAACATTGATACACAAATACGGGCGGCCTATAAGCTCTTGCAATTGTTTCGATTTGGTTTTGGTTTTCCAACAACGATTTCCATAATATCAAGGCGCACAAAAACATTTTGTTAGGCTATTAAAATTCAATTAAAATATTTACAAAGCCCAAGCAGATCACAGATCTCTGAACATTGACAATTATAAATATATATATAGCAACAGATATATATATATATATATATTTATGTATATGTATGTGAACCATATATAGAGTGAACCATTCATAATGCCTCTGGGTGGCTTTTGTCACGCAAATGCTGTTAAAAACTTTGTCGACGGGCCGGAAACCGGCTACTGCTCTGAATCGAGTCGTGAAACAATTAACGGCACGTCAAATGTGCGTTGTGCAGCGGTTCAACTGGAGCTAACCACCACCAACAACAACAACAACACAAATAATAATAATGTAGCCACAATGTGGGTCGTGCGCCGTGAGGGCCTCCAGCCACTGACAGGCACTTGTCAAAGAAAAATCCATAAGACGTGTCAAACACAAATCAAATGCAAATGAGGCACCGAGCAGCGAGCGAGCTGAAAGAAACCACCAGAAAAATTAAATTATCCAATGTTTACAATCTCTTTACAAATTTTAACCTTGGCCTTACACACACACAGCCGCATCAACAGCAGCAGCAGTAGCATTCAAGTCATTTATAAGATGCACAGACGTAGGCAAACAAAGCCTTAGCCAAATAAAGCGCAGCTAAAGCGAAACAATGTCAGAGCAGTTACTTATCTTTTAATCCACACACGCACACACGCACACACTCACATACACTCACACACACACAGATACACCGGGCTTATATATCTTTACAGCAGCAATTAGCTGGGCCATTGACACTGCTTGGCTTAGAACTTTTACAGCAGCGCGGTCTTGGCCAGACTTTGTGGCGGGATCAGTCTTAGCTTTGCCCGCCAAACCACGTCACGTGTTAGTCTTAGCTAAAAACAGAAAACGAGTTCTGGCAGATGCTTAGACGCAGATAAAGGAAATTTGCATTTGTGCAAATTAACTTGAATGGCAGATAAATAAGTATAAACATTTAAATCAACGAGTTTTTTCTTGGCTAAGTGCTGCGAGAACGGGTTAGATCGATAGTTATCAGTGGCAGCTCATGTTAAGCTATGAACTAGATTTGTCACCGCCAAAACAAAAATATGAATGAAGATCAAACGAGTTTCGGCTCAAGCATTTTCTACCTCTATCAATTGTCAATTGTTCAATGTGCCGATGCAGAAGTTCAAAGTGTCAAACGGCGGCACGAGCCGCGCTGCGTTAAAGGTGCTAAATTGTTAAGCGTCTTGGCCATCGCCGAATTGGCTGGCCAACGGGCAGCTGCCACCATAATTATCAAGTTTTATTATGTTTTTATTTTTAAAGCTATATATATATAATAGCTAATTACTAAGTTAAATAACGATTAGATTCAGCTTAGCGGCGCTGGCGCGCAGTTCTATGCTGGATCGTTCGATCTACGTCTCATTTGCATAATGAATTCTCTGTTGCCAATTTAATTTTAGCATCTGTGGATCAGACTTTCACAAAGCGCGCGTGTCGCCATCAAGAACGGGAATCGAAATGGAGGAATCAAAAAGAAAATAAAGCTGTGACATTTAGGAAGAGGAATTAACAAGACATAAAAAGAACTGTTCCAGTGGCTCGAATGGCTGAAAATCTTGCTAAATCTATGTTGAGCTGAATGCGGAGGCGGAAATAATGCGTAACATTTGTTTATTTGCTCGAGCAGCTATTTAAATAAACTTTATTGAAGCATTTATAAATCACTCGAGTGCTCAACACATTCTACAAGTCTGCCTGCCTAACTATCCGTTTGCTAGCACAAATGCCAACTTTATGAAATACTCCAATAACTTTTAAATGCTTACGACTTGCTTTGATTAAGAGCTATGCGAACTGAATGTACACTTAAAACTATTTGATAAGGGTAAATCTGTTCTGTTCTCGAAGTTTCTGCGTCGCAGAGCCGCAAGTTGCATAAAATTAAATTTTATTCTGATAGCAGAAATATTCGTTTAAAGCGGACAAAGTTCAAATTCAAGGCTTAAATTTGGAGTAGAATAAATAAAATATTTATATGCATAAATGTTTATTAATATTAACAAAATAAAATACAGTTTTTAGTGCAGCATTTTTAATTTAATCCTTAAGTTTCAATAGAAAAATATAAAAATACTTTAAAAAATTGCTAATTATATTAAATTTTTATTTCAATTTAATGAGTTTTTAATTTATATTTATTACCAATAAAATGAAAAGTTATATACAACAATATATATACAATAAATATATTAATATTAATATTGTGAATACAATAAATATATTAAACGCATCATAGAATTCTTAGAAACTGTTTGCAATAATTTATTTATTTTTTAAAGTACCAAGAAAGATATTTCTCATATATATTTATAAAATTGAATTCAATTTCTTTTAGTTATAATGTTAATATTTGAGCTAAAAAAAATAAATGTGTTTTTTATTAAAGCATTTTATTTAATATTAATAAAAAATAGAACTAATGAATTTTCAGATGGTTTCTAAATTTTCAAAAAAAAAAAAAATATATAAAAATGTAAATTAATAAAATTTGTCTTCCACGACTAAGAGTCCTTACAGTACATTACTTTTAGTACATTCACTAAGACATGTCCTCCGACTGCATTAACTCTAGTTATATCTTTCTTCTATCCAAATGGAGTTAGTGTATGGAGCACTTCGTTGCTTGGTGCTTCTGCTTAACTTTGTTCATATTTAATTGAATATTTATAATGCTAATGCGAGCTGCTGCGTTGGTGAATGTGCGGAAACATGTCAGTTATTTACGATTCATTGTTTTGGACACTTGACAAAATCACTTCAAAGTGGCTGACAGGAGCGGGTCAGCAACAACAACAACAACAACAATAACAACAGCAACAATAGCACATATTTGTATATGAACAGCTTGGCTAATTCGCTAGCTAAAGAATTTTAATTTGATATGCTTTTGGCCAAGGCTGGCGAAGACTGCAACATGATATAAATTGTGTAATTTTTGCAGCTTCGCTTAATTTATGGGCTCTTGTGGTTCGCAGTCAATTGTCAATTTATGCTAAAGATGCGCAAAGAAGAAGCGCTAACGCCAGCTATAGCAACTTAATTTGGCATTGCGTATACGCCTTGTGCGCCGACATCCGATTGAAATGTTAAAGAAAAACAAACGCTGCTCTATCTGTGTGGACAATAGCGATAAACCGCTCGATGACTTTGTTCGGCCAATGCAAATTTTATAAGTCTTGTTGGTATTTACACGGCTCATTCAAATGCAAAATTAAAAGCGAAAACAACCGGCAGCCGTCGCAGAACGAGGCGTGTCTCACAAAACAAATTTGTAGACGTGGGAATTGGCTAGTATTCAGTACGGCTTCGGCATCATCAGCATTTTATGTTTGGCTTAATGCTCCTTCTTTTGTTGCTCTCGCCGTTATGGCATCTTGGCCAACAGGTCGTATACTCTATCGCTATCTAGACACGTGTATACTATACTAGCTGAAACTATTGTCACGCCTCGCTTTAATCATTATAATTAGCTGAGTTGGGGAGTTGACCAATTGAGTCGAGGCTAGACTTCTTTTTTGGGGCGGCTTCAATTCGACCAGCTTTTAGTGCGTTCAGCTAATGATGCGACACTTTTAACTCCATAAATATAATAAATTTGAAGCACATGTATCGATTGCCGGCATTTAAGGCAGCTCACGGCTTTAAATTCGGTTTTTCTTTGATTTTGTGATTGGTTCGTACCGGTTCTACCCTGCCATGCTTTGACTATGCTAATTTGGCTGGCAACGTTTGTGTTTTGGTTCCGGTGCTGTCAAAGATGGCAGAAGATGAAATGATAAACATATTCATATTAGATGATTGCTGCCATAAAATATATAAAAATAGGTTGTATTTCTTTTAAACTGCCATCCTATTCAATTCACAACAACTCAATAAATCTGCCACGCCCTGCCACAGATTTATGCCACTGATACCGATGTATCGGCAACTGCCTTCGTTTAGTTTCCGTTTTCCATATAAAATGACAATCGAATCGAGAAACGAATAAAGCCAAATTAAAATATGAACAAAATATTGACGCAAGCAGCCCGCAAGCGACGCGTCGCGTCACGTCGCCTCTGGTCGTCCACATGGATCCATAGCTAATGGCAGATTTATCGCCGCTTAGTTTCTTGACTTGAAATTTAATATGCCAACAAAGTCGTTATTAATTACTTTTCAATTTTCTAATAACCGTAAAAATATCGATAAATTGTTTCGCAACTATGTGCAGCTGGTTGACTATTTGTTAAGAATTTGTCTGCTCATGTTTTGCGATGACAAAGATTCAATTAATCAAGGCGCACAGCCTCCGCCGCACAAGTGAAAGGCGGCATGATGTCACACCCAGTTAGAACGCGAAACCAGTAAACGAAGTTCTAACTTACTTTAGGCCAGCTCAGTGGCATTTCCTCCACTCCAGCCTTGATGCCAAAAGCAGCGACATCAAGAGCTCAAATTCAGACCAGGTGAATGTATTTCCCCCACACAAATGTTTTTTTTTTATTTATGTTTGGTTTTGGTTTCTTCATTTTTATATTTGTTAAACGGAAATGATATTTGTTTGCTTGAAAGCCGTTAAATTTGTTATTAGTTTGCAGCAGAGGTCAAGTGAGCAGACAAACAATTGTACGAGCAAGACAATCTACACATCATGTGTTGCTATAGCAGATAAATCTAATGCCATGTAAGCCAGTTGTGAGCGAGTGTGACAAAACAAGCGGCACGCCCCTAATTATGCAGATTTATGAGGCAGTAAATTAAGACAACAACAAATAACAAAAATGTCTGCATAATTAGAGGGCTATACTTCATCGAAGTGTTGGCCAAAAATATTATTCTTACAAAATGTTATGCAAATTGGAGCGAAGAGCGAGAATAGCACAAAAGACTTAGGCAGCGAACTCCAATTGAGCCACGAGCCGTGCCAAGCACAGCGCAGCACTTAAGAGAGTCGAAATGTGAATGACAGAGAAAGAGAGTGCGTGAGAGAGACAGAGAGAGTGTGTGTGTGTGTGTGTGTGTGTGATCGAGTTGAACTCTTAAATGGTCAAACTATCTTCTTTTGTTTTTGAACTCTTCGCTGATGCGTCACGGCTCGTGACGACACCAAAGTGATTGTGATTGTGATTGTGATTGTCTACTAATTCGGCAGATGCTCGGGCATGCGGCCACTTCTAGCTGCGGTTTCTATCCAACCAATATCGTATTATATAATTTAAATTTTGATTTGAATTTGTTTGATGTTGTTAAAAGTTACTGTTGTTGTTCAACTGGCCGTTGTTGCTGTTGCTGCTTCTGCTGCTGCTGTTGCTGTTACTTTATTTATAACACCGTATATGTGTGTGTGCGTGTGTGAGTGTGTTTCTTATTTTTTGGCGGTCGTCGCTTTACGCTGCTTCTCTTAGACCCACATAGCGAACCGGACGGGCCAGATATAGTATAAATTTCATAGAAACAGCCCAGCTCATCATCATTTGTGCTTTGAACTTCTTAAGTGTAAATTGCTCGTGCGCTTCTGGACGAGAAATTTTTTGCGTAATCCAACGAATCGAAAACATATTTAAACTTAACAAAATGGTATGTGATCCTCGCAGGAATTATGACGAGTGCTCGCAGTGAACGAAGGACCAACGACAAGAAATTGTGCTCAAGCTCGAATGCAAATTATATTTATTTCGGCTAGTCATTTCCATACGTGTGCGTGTGTGTGTATAAAAATAAGAATAAGAATAAGAATTGTATTGAAGTGCTTCCAGTTCAAGTGTACGACTTCATTGCCAGCTGACAGGCTCGAGTGGGCACTCGTCTGCATTCCATTCGCGCCCAGGCTAAAGCTAAATATAGACTAAAACAGCGAGAACCAATCCAATTTCAAGTGTACTTCAATTTTTGCTCTTGTTTCCGGCAGAAATTCTTCGTGTTTGTTGCTTTGGCGCTGCTTGGCTGTGCGAGTGCTGCCCAGCTGCCCGATTCGGCCACTCAGGGGCCCAATCCACAGGACATTGCGACACCCGAACCGGAATACATTGACATCGATGAACCAGCACCAGCTGCCCCAGCGCCGCGTCCAAATGTGCAACGGAACCTGGCTGTGGCGCCTGTGCCCCGTCCAGTGATTGGCCTGCCCCGTCAAGTGTCTGTGGCCCGTCCCATTCCCGTCGCCCGTCCCATTGCCGTGGCCCAACCCATCGCCTATGCCCAGCAGTCGATCCAGCAGCGTGCCCAGTATCTGCCCCCATTCGCTCAGCAGCAGCAGGTCGCAGGACATGCGTACAGCAGCCAGGCCGGCTATCAGTATCGTCGTCCAGTCTATGTAAGACGCGTCTATCGCCAGCGCCGCTACTAGAGAGGGGCGATGCCTAGCAATTAACTTTTGTCTATTTAATATATCTAATTTCTATATGATTTCTAATATGTTTTTGCCTGTTTTTTATTTACACACAATATTTCTTCTCTTTCTCCCTATTTCACTGCCTTTCCACCCAACTACTTCCGTTCCTGAATCCCACTCCTACTACTACTACTATTACTACCATCTACTATCTACGCAAATGGAACTGCTATCGCAACCGTTAGCATTAACCCACGCACACATTAAATATAAAAAAAAACAAAAACTCTCTACAGCAACTATCGCATCTAACCAAATCCTAATCAAAGGCGTTTCTTCACACGAAATGCTCTCGATACAAACACTAAACATCAAAAGTACAAAGAGACAAATGAAGTTCGGAAGACGAAATCGAAATCGAAATCGAAGTATTTAGTTATTGTTGAATTGCAAACTCCAAAATAAATAAAAAATAAATAAATAAAAAAGAAATAAATTATTTTGTAAAAGAAATAACAACAACAAATTGCTCTTGAGTATGGTAATGTTTCATATTTGTGGGGCCAAGGTCTGTGAATGATACGCCATATCGAAGCATGACTTTAATTATAGCATTCACAGCCCAACAAAGCCAAGCCATATGGAGATGCCTTATGTGTCGAACAATGCACACAGATTGGTTCTTATTTCCAGTATTCGGCAGCCGTTGCCCGTTACCCGTTTCCAGCTGCCCGACATCCGACATCCGACTAGTAGTAAGCCATCATTAATCACGAAATCAATTGAAGATCTCTGCGTACTTGTCTCTATGGGAACCGTGTACCATTTGCATACGGAAGCTGTCTGGAGACGTATAGAGAGATGGCCCACCTTGATTATTTCTATGCAATTTTCGGCTACTATAATACTTCATCTCTTTAACTTAGTTACTATTTAGAACTGGGGTTTTTTGTATATTTAACGACAGTTGGATCTCGGTAAAGACGCAAATTCACTAAACTACTTTCAAAATAAATTAAATGAACCGGTTTACGATCTCAGGTTTTTTCTAATTTGTTGCTTCTGCTGCTAGATCGTCTCCAAAAGTGTAAACAAATGAGTTAGGGAGCCTTTCTAACGGCAGAGTCAACTTGACTTGACTAGGCAAAGTGCTCTTGATTGACGAATTGATTGACGCTGTGACAATATGATAAACGCTGTGTTCTGCAATGATCTGCCCACCTTATCATTGATTAAAACAACTTATTCACTCATCTCACTTAATCGAATAGTATAACATTGACAATCTCTACAAACTGTTATGCAGCAAAGCTTTTCGATGTAGCATATTTTTAGGATCCGCAACGCTACAGCCTAAGAGTTGGCACTACACTTTGAAAAATAAAATAAAATAATTATATCTTTGGCTATGGTTGCAATAAACTGAAGTAGTTATGTAGATCGGAGAACGTCTGTCATGAAGTCAAGTCTTTTACGAATATTCTTTTTGAATTGATTTTCTTGTTATGTGGCAGAGATCTTTACATACGTTTCAGAAAAATATTTTTCATGAAATTTGCCTTGGTTTCGAAATCAATTTTCATTGGCTGTGGCTCTATCAAATCAAATCCAATTTCGATTGATTTCTTCTGCTTAATGATATTCAAATGGGCAACAATCTTAATAACATCTTTAATAATTATTATTCCATAACTTAGATTACAATATTAGATAGCTTCGAGCTAAATGAAGTATGAACTTAGAATTATCTAAATGTCTGATATTTGATATACTTTGGTATGCTTGGGAATAGAATATCGGTTCGAAATTTTTGAATTTTTAATATATGCCAAAAAAAAAGATATTTATCGTTGTTATGGAAGTTATAAAAATGACAGCATACTTGAGTTTATCTGAATATAGTTGCCACACACAAATGATTCGAAGCATGCATTATTGATGTGACCTGGACTTATTGGATTATCGTTCCACATTTCTCCTGCAGTGGGAGACAAATATTGGTTTGGTTAGAGATTGCGTGAAACAGACTGGAATAGCAACGATGCGACTATCATTGTTTCTAATACAACCATTACCTCTGGCGACATAGGGGACACGTGCGCAATGCTGTAACAAAGAGTTAATTTAGATATTCCACATCCGTAGGGTGGGGCTTGCCATGATTATCCACCAGCATACCAAAGTACTACGCCCGGCAGACTTATGATAGAGGCTGTTTGTACGGCATACTAACAGTAAAAATTGACTTTTTTGAAAAGTATTTCCCGTTGGCTAGACCATAGTCTTAAACAATAAAACTTGCACTAATAAAAAACTGGCAGTACGCTGTAGGCAGATACTGATTCTGATGCGTTCTGTTTGCATGTGAGTTCAACTTGATAGCCACGCTTTGAGAAAACCTATTGGATCACCTATTCGTATCAACAGTCAAAAGTTAACTATATTCTCAGCTATAATTGATTCGTTCATTTCCATTCGCCGCACTTATACAATAAATTCGACTATGTTTTCGTCACGCTCTTCGCTTCGGCTCACTATTTGCGGTTAATAAATGTAGTAAACTCCTTAAACCACAATAAGAAGGATGTCTAACGCGCATCGGGCATTTATTTTAATACAACTTTTGACACTGTGGATGTGGAGTGGAAATGCACACTGCTGCAATATGGCTATGTATAGCTTTACGATAAATTCCATGTCGAAATGTTCGGATTTTCCAAAAGCAGTCGGTATAATTGGAAGTAGTACTTGTACGGTTGGATTATGTGGCGATGGTAAATTTCCTGGGCCGTGTTGCGGCGTGGGCCGTTGCAATATTTTCTGTTGTAATTGCGATCAAGGCTGTTGGCCGAACGTCAAAGAAGCGCTCGCAATTTATCTTTCGCGTGTTTAAAGCTTATACAACCCCGAATAAAAACTTATAAAAACTTTCTTATAATGTGTAAGCGTGTTCATCATATATCTAAATTGAATATGGAGCTAACTAAAGAGCAGATAGCTAAAAAGGGGCTAAAAGTATTTGACAATCATAATCGATTCGAAATTAGATAACATTTTCGTCACACTTTCCGCCTGGGCTCGCTTCTTTAATGATAATAATAATAACCATGTCTATGTCGCATTTGTCATTTACTTTAATAAACGATGGTGGACTTCAATTCGTTTTAGTTATTTATAGCGGAACGGAATTGAAATGGTCAAGCAACAGTCCTGAAAGGAACATGCAAGATGGGCAAAAAACTGCTAAAAGTCTATATATAAGCTAGGCATTTGATAACATGCTTAGATAATAAATGCTGTAACCTTTGTTTGGCTTCAACATATTGGAAACATGGGATCTATCAGCCCGTTGCCTTACGATTCCTACTGAATATTAGAAATTCTCTTCAGAAATCTTCGAAATTCGCAGCAGCCTTTCTCTTTTTGCTTGCCATCTTAGCAAATTCTTGCATAAAATAATCAAATCGTTATGTTGAAAACCAGTTGCAAGCCGAATGGAACAACCAGCTTAATGCGAGACTTAAGGAACTGCGCTGATGGTTGAAATATAATTTATAACCTATGTGTATTCGCATATAAACGGACCCGATGGCAGTAAGCACTGCAAATGAAAACATTTAAGTCATTCAAGCGAAATTATCTAATTAATTAGCATATTGCTAGGATGGCGTGTGGAGCGGGTGGCTAACTGGTTTCATTCGGTATTAGATCATATGCTCAATTTCCATATAGACTCGTTGAGCTTATTCGGCTACTTAACTGAACTGAAAACGAATGCCGCAAAGCAAGTGCCAGCTCGGATCGGGCAGTGAACGTTATTTATTTCCTGTTCGCATTTGGTTTCACTTTCACGCAGATATGTGGGCGTTAATTGGTCGGACGGAGGGCGGGCAGAATCTTCACACCTTGCGGCCGACAACAATGCCGGCGATTGTGGGTGCCATAAATCAGCAGCGCCATTGGGGGTACTGTGCCACAACGAATCAGCATCGCAGCTTGTTTGGCTTCAATTACTCACGCGAATTAACAAATGAGTAAACGGCCCAATAAATCAACACGCAATATGTGAAGAATTTTGTTGATACCATCACGAACCGCCTTCATCTAGTGGGTGTTCAAACTCGAGCAAAGCTCAAAAACCTGGACCGACTCAGCCCACACTGAAGCCGCACGAAACGGTTTATGGCGCATGTGTTGTTCGAGTATTATAAAAAATTCAGCGGTATTCGATGAGGCATAATTATATTGTCGTGGCCCTCAAACTAAGCAGGTAATTAGATCTTAAGCTGGAGTTTCCCCGCCAAGCTGACAAGTTAAAGTTTAAGTTTAATACTTAACAATATTATAAATCTGACATATTTTATAGGTAACTCTAGCAGCATAGATCAGAAGACTTTCGCTACATAATCCCAAGTTCAAGTTCACATTTAAAGCTTAAGTTTATGTTTCATATTTCTAAAAATGCAAATGGCTATCACAACTCGAAGAAATTATGACTCAACAGAGTTAAATATAATTGTCAATATGGAGAAGATCCCATAGAAAGATAAGCTGCAACATGTTTTTCCACTTCTCTTAGAACTAGAAATAGAGAAGCTCAGGCAGAAAAAATATTTCATATTTTCAAGTTAGTTTCGGTCTCGCTTCTAAAACATATTTTAAACATATTCAAAGGTCACAACTGTATGTATTTAGGTACTTATTTATTTATTCGATGGAAGACTAAATAATTAACTGGACAATTTACAAATACAAATAGAGCGATACAGTTAGGTATATACACATGGCGTAATATCAGTTGGCAAACTTGGCTTAAACAATTGGCTTAGTAGAAGAAGGGCGTAGCTGGTTTATTGTAGTGGTATCCATCGTTGCTGTGTGGCTCCACAATCTGCTGCGGTGGCAGGTAGACGTGGTTCGGTTCCAGTGGTGCGGCATATGATGGTATGGGTATCTCGTAGGTGGGCGCCACTGGGGTGGGTGGCAAGTAGGTCTCAGGCTGCAGCACTTCATGCACTTGTGGTGCGGGCGGCAAATATACTGGTTTGGGTGGTGTAGGTGGCAGATAGGTCGGCTTTGGCTGCTGTGGTGGCAAGTAGGTGGGCTGCGGCACCTCGGGCTGCTTAACGGGCAGGTAAACAGGTGCTGGTGTTGGCAGCTCGAATGGTATGCTCGGTGGTTCATAGTTATAGCCAGGATGCGCCCGCTCCTCATGATGGTGATGGTGATGCTCGTGGCCAAACAGATGGGAAACGTCGGCGGCGACCAGCGCCAGGCTGAACAAAACTAGCACAAGGACTTTCTAATTGCCAAAGAGCGATGGGATTAGAAGAAATGATTTCACAATTCAATAATTCTTATATACAAAACTAACCATTTTAGCGGATCACAGTTCTTGGTACAACGTTCTCGATGCGTTGACTGCTCTGAAATGAATTAGTTTACGGCAAATGCTTCTTTATTTATACAACAATCGAGAACCGCGCGCGCAATAGAGCAGTCTCCATCGCGGTCTAAGCCTCCCTCTACTTGTCCCTCTCCCTCTCGCTCTCCCTCTCAGTGGCCGTCTCCGGTCTGACGATGCGTTGATCGCTGTCAGAAGCTGAGCTAGAGTTCGTCTCAGCGCCCCCTTTAACGGCATTCGCATATAAATTCTATTAATTCTCTTTTAATTTCCAATGGCCTTTGGTTTTGCTGTTGCTCTGCATGAACCGGACATTAAATCTGCACTTAATTATAAGCCTGAGGAATAGCTAAGGCGTTACAGATTCAAACACACTTAAATTGGGCCATTTGCATATTCCTAAAGCTCTATGTGACGTCTTGAAGAAGAACCCAATGAATAAATCAGAGTTGGCTAAGCATTCGCTTGTAAATATATTCTGAAATTAAAATATTTTAACTTTGCATGAATATCGATTAATAATATCTTTCATCTATATCTATATGATTTGAGAAATTTATAATTCTTGTTATAAATAAAATAATTTAATTTTATTATAGGCATCGGTTTGTCCGCCTGGCATCATACGAGTTCTTAATGAAATGAGTCTGTATTTAAATATATTTCTTTGCTAGAGTATTTAATATTCGACATTCTAATTATAACGGTGCCTAGTCGTGTTTTCTATCTCCGACAGCCATAAACGCCTCCGATTTGAAATGAGTATTTAAAAGACTTTGCAGAGTTTTGTGTTTATTGATTTCTGGGTTTTACGAGCTTCACTAGTTTTGGCCAAGATTGCGAGGCAGCACAATCGATTGGCCTCAGTCGATCGATTGGCCGATCATCTCGGGACTGAAAGAGGTCAACAAAAGGCAACAAAATCGAGCCACGCTGCCGGCTGCAATTGGCAATTAGCGATTTTGTTTAATGTTATTTGTTTCTCTCTTCTTTGTAACAGACACCACTCGGCGGCTTCAATATGAATTCCCACAGCAACCGCAGCCACAGCTCGACATCATTATTCATTTTCAAACTTATACCACGATAATTATAGACTCGATCAATAGCTGCAAGTGTTGAAGCTCAGCATCAGATGCTGCGCGTAGCGCGTGCTTTGGGTCTCGAAAATAGACTGCGACAGCATTTGATTAGATGCTTTTGTTTTTGTTTCTGTTTTTTTTTTTTTCGGACTGGAACCTTTTTAGTTACACACATCGATATTGAAAGCTGACCTTAGACAATAGCCAATTAGTCGTAATGGCCTCTGATGAAAGACCATTTGCTGCCGAACAAAGCTGATGAGGCTTGACGACATGATGATGACACGATTTGCATGGAATTGGAGCAGATTAGAGATTGAATAAGATTATGGAAATATTTTCAGTGATATTTTCGATAAGCCAGACTATTGCTTCAGCTGGCATTCATCTAGCTTGTCCGATATCAAATATTTCTTACTATATTCTAATATAATTATAAGAATAACAATATTAAAAAAATAATAAAAATAATAAATATTAAGAGAAATATTTTTTTTATTGAATAATCTTAATCAAATCTGTGGACAGGGTATACCATAGTCAATCAATTAATCTCCACTCATCCGTAATTTCTTTTACAAACAGCCTTGACTTCACCTGCGCTCTCCTGCTGTGCAGTGTAAATAAGCTACCATTGAGTATTAATTGAAAAAATATTAATTAATTACAAGTGTATGGAATATGAATCTAATTATCGATTATAATTGATATCGATAAGACGCTTCTGGGTAAATAAACACATATTTATGTAGATTTTCTAATATGCTTTATTTGCACAGCTTAAGACTAAATGAGGTGTGTGCGTGCGTGTGTGTGGGGTTATTAAATAAGCTCCATTTTTGAGCAAATCAAAACTTGAAGCTGCGCAGTGGTTGGTTGTAGCTATAGCCAGAATTGTCACGACCAGCTGGGCCAGGCAACGCGGAGGATTGGCTCAGGGGTAGAGCATAGTTGGGTATGGGTATATGAAAGCTGGGCTCTGACTGGGCCAGGCGTGGCTCAGAGTGTGCAGGTGGCAGGTACTGCGATTCCGGCTGTGATGGGGGTGGCAAGTAGTTCGACTTGGGTGGTGCAGGTGGCAGATAAGTGGGCTTTGGTGGTGTGGGTGGCAAATAGTTCGACTTTGGTGGTGTGGGAGGCAAATAGGTTTCCTTGGGCTCTGAAGGAGGCAAATATTCGGCCTTGGGTGCGACTGGTGGGGGTGGTGGTGGTGGTGGCAGGCTGGCTGGAATCTTGGGTGGCAAATACTTGGTCTCTGGCTTGGCAGCTGGCAGATAAGTCTTTTCTGGCTGAGCGGGCGGCAAGTACTTGGTCTCAGGTTGAGCTGGGGGCAGGTACTTGGTGCGTGGCTTCTGTGGTGGCAAGTACTCCGTCTTGGGGGTCTTCACTGGGGGGGGTGGTGGCGGTGGTGGCAAGGTAGGTGCCACCTTAGGTGGCAAATACTTGCTTTCTGGCTTGGCAGCTGGCAGATACGTGTTGCTTGGCTTCACTGGTGGCAAGTACTCGGGCTTGGGCTGTGGTGGCGGTGGTGGGGGTGGTGCAGCATAGTTGTAGCCATTGGGCTGATGTTGACGCAGCGCATCAAGGTGCAGATCGATGTGGAAGCCCTGATGATTGCGATGGGCGTCATGCGAGTGAGCGTGTGCGTCCTGGTGGTGCGACTGATGCAAATCATGGTGGTGCGAGTCGTGATGATGCGCATCGTGATGGTGCGAATCGTGGTGCGAATCGTAGTGGTTGTGATGCGAATCGTGATGCGACTCGTGGTGGTGTTGATGATTGCCACCACCAAACAAGTGAGACACATCGGCACGTCCCATCGAAAAGCTGGCCAAAAGGGCCAAGAGGATGCAGAATGTGTTCTGTAAAGGAAAATAAAATTAACAAAGATACACTTATATATGATAAGCCCAGTACCATTTCGAGAGGGCTTCTTCGATTGCCTGTTTGCTGTTCGAATGCAGATGCTGCTGCGCTCTGCCAACAACTGGAAGTAATGTCTTAGCTAGTTGGGCCATTGGCTTTTATACAGCGATGCCCAAGCTGGCTCCCAGTTTAACATTTGGGAAATAATTAATAATTGTTATTGTTGTCGGCAGAGCGATAGAGACAAAGGCCAACGCATAATTTGCCTGCTTCACACTTTTCTCGGTTTTCTTGAACTTGGCGCTGGATCCAATTATTGCCATGTGTTTGTTTATCGTGGCCTGTTTTGATAGAGCTCCCCACATCTATTTTGGTGAAAACAATTAAAACCAATTTTGGACTCTTAATTCGGTTTACAATACAAAAAGCCAAAAGAAAAAACCAAAACAAAAACAAAAACAAAACCACTCGCACCACTCATGAATATGCAGAGCAGGAAATTTTCATTGGACAATTGGCTGTGATTGGAATTGAACGAGAGCGAGAGATATCGAGAGATTCGATCAATTGGCTAACAAATGTGATTTATTTAACGTATCGAGACTTATATAATACCAACGACTAGGTAAACGGGACAAGCGGCATTCCGGGTCAACAGTCAAGCAGTGTCAAGTGTGGTGCAAGGTGGTGCAGCTTAGAATAGGAAGGGCTCGGCTGGTGCATCGTAGTGGTAGCCCGGCTCTGGGTCTGGCACAATGATGGGTGGCAGATAGGTGGGTGCAGGCGTGGGTGCTGGTGTTGTGGTGGTTGTTGTGGTGGGTTTTGGTGGTGGCAAGTAGGTGGGCGCTGGTTTCGGTGCTGGTGTCGTGGTGGTTGTCGTTGTGGTTGTGGTTGTCACCGGCGGAGGTGGCAGATAGGTGGGCACTGGCGTCGGTGGTGGTGGTGGCAGATAAGTGGGCGCTGGTGTGGGCGCAGGCGTGGTGGTACTGGCTATTACAAAGGGCACCACAGGCTTGGGATAATCATAGCCGTAGCCATGCTCCCCCTCCAGCTGCTGCAGCGGCAAATGCGAGACGTCCGCAACGGCCAGGGCCAGCGTGCAAGCCACCAGTGCGAGGCTAAGGAATGCGTTCTGCAATAAGGAAACAAACAGAGCTTAGTTGAAGAGGCAATAGAGTTCGGGCGGAGAGCACGCACCATGTTACACCTTGGACTCGAAGACGTTCAATGGTTGACCAATCGTTGAGGCATCTGTTTATTTATAGTCACAATTCTAGACTCGCTGGCATTGCTGTCCATGGCTCAAAAGGCCAATTATTATTATTTAAATCGATATGCCGTTGCTCGATTATTATGTATTCTCTATATCTGTATCTGTCTATGCGTCTGTATCTGTATCTGTATCTATATTGCTTGCTATGATCATTAAGCATTGTTGCTCGTTGCTTGTATGCGACGTCAACATAAATGCTCGTCGAGCATTTTCATCAACGTCGTCATGAGCCGGGCCTAAAGCCACTCAGCTGTATTCTTGTGGACCATAACACAATGCCTCGCTTCCGAGCTTCCGAGCTGACCGAAAGAGTATTTCAGTTGTAAGCGCACTGCGCTGCCTGTCATAAATCATTTAGAGTTCATTTATAATAATTACCGTCTCGAGCAGCTCGAGTGGCCGCCAAATTCTCGCACACACAATGAAGTTGTCTCTTTAAAGCTTGCGGAAGCGTTCGGATTAAACAAGTACTTAAGACACATCAAAACTGTGCTACCAATTCCAATTCCTCTGCCAAAAGCCAGCCAGACGCCTACATTAACGTAAACAGATACGCAGATAAACTGAGACACAGTTGCCAGCATTAAAATTCTTCACTAATTTGTCGAGAAGACACGAAACAGTTTACATGCAGATCGTAGATCAGATGAAGATCGTAAAACTACTTTGCTCTGGCAGCTTGTTTCAACTATCACTTTTTCAATACCCTATATATATGCTGAAAGTGGGCATACTGGAAAGATGTCACAGAGCAGCTTGAGCTTGGATTATAAATCACTCTAGATCATGCATACATACCGTTCTTATTTCCTGATGTTGTATCAACTATCACTGCGTTGTACCCTGGACTTAAGATGTGTGGCCATAATGTACTAAAAGTCATACTATTCATAGCTCATGCACCCTGAAGTTACTGATAATGGACTAGAAGTTACAAGCTTCCTTAAATATAGGTCTTTGATCAGCTATGATCAGCCACAAGGCATTTCATCTATTGCTTTAGGTACATGCTCCGTAAGCGTATCTCTCACAAACTATATTAGTTTGGCGTGGTATCTCATAGTCCATCACTCCTTACAACCTGCACACTCGTTTTTTTTATAGCTTCGATTTCAAGACATCTTCGTTTTCGGCTTAGCTAATTAATGCGGGTTATTGAACCGCCAGCGGCTTTGATCGATTACCAAAAATTGCTTGAAAATCGATTGCTGCGGCGTGCGCTCGATTCGCGTTGCTCGCATTTGGCCACCATTTTGCGCAATTTATGTAAATGATTAAATTAATTGTGCACTTCCCCACAGAAATTTATAGGCCCGAGCACATAAAAAATTCAACATGTGCGAAATTGTCGTTGACTTTTCGAACTGCAACCGGTTTAGCATTTGTGTTCAGTTTATTTTTTTGTTTTTTTAAGAAAAAAAAAACCAGATAGAGTTATGTGTTTATTAGGATTGAGCGCAAGAGCCACATTTTTGTGTGTTTTTTTTTCTATTCAATATCGTTTTCATTCTAAGCGCTGTCCAAGGCAAGCAGAGGCCCTTGGAAGGTGAAAGGCCAACAAAGAATTGCCCTGAGCTTTGCTTAACTATCAATGGTAATATTATCATATTGTCACAAAAGATTATGGACCAACTATATTGAGCATGAATCAAATTCCAAATCCCCCAAGCCGTGACAAATCATATGTGTTCTTCTTCAATCACTGAATAGCTCCATTTTTCGTGCTGCTAAGGAGGCTCTCAGCTCAACTCTTGGAGCCAACTCAGCTGCAATACCAAATGTATATAGAATATATAAGCTTTGTACGTTTTCTATGGCTCCTTATATTTTACATAAAGATTTCGTGGCAAAGATCCTTAAGGAGCTATTGATAAAAGTGATTTAAAACATGAAGTCTGTAAGGCTATTAGATAAGTATTTCATAATTCTTAGCACATTTTATTATTATTAATTTGTTTTTATAGTTTTACGACTTTGGTAACAAACTAGTATCTATAAATAGTCACGAGCTTAGCTCTTGAAGCGTCTACTGGGCACACGATATGCGTATCCGTGACCCTTGGAGGAGGCATAGGCAGCGCTGTCATCGCTGGCAGCCAATTGCTCGGGCAGTTCCTCGGCGGGTTCGGCCTGTCCCAGTTCCGCATCGGATGGGGCAACAGGTATGGCATCTTGTGGAAATTCCTGGCCAGTGGGAAACTCATTGTTCAACTCCAGTTCTAGCTCACTGACCTTGGGCACATCGTAAACAAAGCCATTGCCCGACTGAACAAGCTGCGAAACATCCGCCTGGGTCCAGTGCAGACAAAGCACCGCCAGCAGTGCCACAATAAACAAACGCTAAGATCCAAACAATTATTAATAACAATAATCATACAATAAATATGACAATGACTTACCATCTTGACAGGGGAATATGCCTATAGGATCAATAGAATCTAGTTAAATGCTTTATAGCTGCCAGCCACGGGGCTCAAGCGAATGCAGGCATTGGCGTCGATACCCAACTATTTATACTTCTATATGTCGATCGTGTTTTTTTTTAGCTCCGTTTATTAATTGCGCTGTTGCTGATGCTGCTGCTGTTGATTTTGTTGATGTTGTTGATGCTGTTGATGCTGTTGACGTTGTTAATGCTGCTGCTACTGCTACTGCTACTGCTGCTACTGCTGTTGCTTGTCAAACAACAGCAATTCGATAGTTAGAGCGGCCCTAGATAAACAACCAGCTACATTTCTGGCTGGTTATGTTTGGGGCCATTGCTGCCAGCGTTCACTCCAATCGAATCGAATCGAATCGAATCATTGTCAAGGTCAAGACGTGTTCGGCTTTTGTGTGGGGTCAAGTGTCAGTGCGCGTTGTGGCTTTGTCTCTTGTCTTCACTATCGAATTAATGATTCTATGCGTCGCCAGCTGTGCGCCAGCATCCATCACGTGTGGCATTTATGCAGCAAATCCAAATCCAAATTCAAATACGTATCCACATCCACATCCACATCCAAATCCAAATCCGAATCCATATTCAGCACATATAAAGCAGCTGCTGTCAGCAGCTTCGCCATGTTTCCTTTTCAATTAGCGCTTCGAACAATTTGTCTCTGTCAACTTTGACACTTTGATACTTTGACTGTCGCTCTTCAATTCAAGAGCCCTGAACGGATCACGTAGTAGCTTCGAATCGATTCGCACCTCCGCCCAACTCTTGCTGTCTGCAGCAAATGAAAACCAGATTCAATAAGCTACCTAGACGTGGCTCAAGTTATCTTTGGCGGCTCTCGAAGACCTTCTGCATTGCTCTCTCTCTTGTCTCTGAGCCGCCTTGGTCATTGACGCAGTTCTTAATTCTGATAAATATATTCATATACATATTTATTTGACATTTTTTAGGTTTACTTTTTGGCTTGGCCCAAACGATATTGGCAACGCTAATCAGGCATATTTTTAGGCAAAAAGTTGTTATTGAAATAATGTTGCATAAGAACGGGCTCTAGGTAAATTTAAAATAGAATTGATGGAGGACGCTTTAAGAAATTCGTCTAAGCACTGGAAATCATTTAAGCAGGTAGAATTTGACAACAGAATTTGGGAGATTTCATATTATAACCGAACTGAAACTCCGCACAAGTTGCTCAAGATGATTTCTATATTTGGTCTCAAAAATCTTTTAGATTTTTAAAAATAAACTTTTCATATAATTTTTTATTTTCGTTTTAATTTTTATTTCCAATCAAAGTTCTCGTCAGGAATTCGTTAGAAAGATCTAATACTAGAGGAGGAAACTAATTACAATAAGCGTTCCTTAATATTCGAAAGATGGCTGGGGGTCGTTGGGGTAGCTATAACCCTTTGGACCCTGGATGACCACAGGTTCTGGCTTGCGATAGATGGGCTCGATAATTGGTTGTGGCTTGTAGACTGGGGGCAGATACTCATCGACGATCTTTTTTTGGATCACAACTGGGGCAGCGGGCTTAACCACGATCTGGGGCTTAGCTGGGACCACAACAGGCTTCACAACAGGAGGCAGATACTCGTTGACGATCTTTTTTGGGATCACAACTGGGGCAGCGGGCTTAACCACGATCTGGGGCTTAGCTGGGACCACAACAGGCTTCACAACAGGAGGCAGATACTCGTTGACGATCTTTTGTGGGATCACAACTGGGGCAGCGGGCTTAACCACGATCTGGGGCTTAGCTGGGACCACAACAGGCTTCACAACAGGAGGCAGATACTCGTTGACGATCTTTTGTGGGATCACAACTGGGGCAGCGGGCTTAACCACGATCTGGGGCTTAGCTGGGATCACAACCTTGCGAACGGGTTCGACCACCTGCTTGACAACGGGGGGCAAGTAGTTCTGAGAGACTGTGAAAGGTATGGATGGCTGGTTGTAATGGTATCCATCTTCCTTCAGGATGCCGGATTCAACGATCTTCTGGGCGACTACTGGAGCTGGTCTTTCGTAGACAACAGCGGGCTTCTGGACGACCACTGGAGCTGGTCTTTCGTAGACAACAGCGGGCTTCTGGACGACCACTGGAGCTGGTCTTTCGTAGACAACAGCGGGCTTCTGGACGACCACTGGAGCTGGTTTTTCGTAGACAACAGCGGGCTTCTGGACGACCACTGGAGCTGGTCTCTCGTAGACAACAGCGGGCTTCTGGATGACTTGGGGCACATCGATAACGAACTTCGTAGCTGGCTCCTGGTAGTGGTATCCATCTGCTTGCAGGTTATCGCTGTTTGAGAACAGATGGGAGACGTCAGCGCTGACGGCTGCCACCAAGGCGAAGGCGATCAGGAATTTCTGTAAATCGAGCAAACCAATGATCGATGATCGATATAGTCACGTTTATCGATATTTTACACAGCACTACTATCCTCTGTTATGTAAGCTGTGTCTTCAGAATTCTTTGCTTTTTTACTCTTCTTTTTTTTTTGTTTTGGCTTACCATTTTGCTCAGCTTCAAATTCACCCAACGAAGGTTGAAATATTACTGTTTTGGCGATGAAAAGTGAGACATTATTTATACGTCGGGCCGCATCGTTTCAGGATAGCTTCGACATGATCTTCGGCAAATGAAGAAGCAGAATCTTCTCAATACTAGCAACAACAATGCCGATTCCGAAAAAGTTAACCGAACCTGATTTTGGGCTGGTTAACCGGCTATGACAGAACGACACACACTCATAAAATTATTCTGCTCGCTCTTTTTTTTTGTCAGATGCCATAGCGATACAGATTGAAGCACAATGAAATGCCGAGATATCAACAGGAATTCAAATTTTGTCAATATCAAATCAAAGAGCTAAACAAAAGCTTCGACTATCGACTGCCAAATACCCTAAAAGCATGCTGCTAGCTGGCCATATAGATTCCCGCTAGAAATCTGGCATGTACCCACAGCCAAGTGTGATTTTCTAATTTAATGCGAAATAAAATGCAAAACAATGAAATCTATATAATATAAATTCACTCAATAGAAGTGCCATATATCAAGCCTATTTACGTATCTGTTATATTGATCGAACAGAGATGCTCTTTATACATTGTAAAGCGGGCGTGACGGGCATATATAAAGATCAAATACTTGCTATTGCTATTTTATGGTTATTAATGAAACCCAAAATCAATATAAATGGGCCCAGACATGACACTTAAAATGATGTTTTATTTATGCGAGTCTCGGGGAAACGCCTCACAATTTGCATGAAGAGCAGTTCCGCTAACTAAGCGCACTGTCAATTGTCGCTCGATTACTCACCAGCTGGTCGCCAGGGCAAGCCAGGCTTGGTTGACCTTCACGCTGGGACAGTGGGTCATACATAAAATGCGTGCGAAAACCAGTTCGAAAGGAAGGGCTCAGCCGCACAGCTGCATTCCCATGTGCACAAAATTGACCCATGCCAATTAACTGCGGCAGTTCGTAATTCACAAAATGACCATGTTTATTAATGTTGTTCTTTTATTTTAGCCAACTGTTAATTTGCGAGTTATCAACAAAAAAATTTGCATCCGATTAGCAGGCAATTAACTTTGCTGGAAATTGGCCTCGCCCAACCTCAAATATTCTTATTGGCCGTTGCTAAATCTCAATCTTTGATGAGGTCTTTCTAATCAAGCCGCAGTCAATGCTAAGCGCACGTTGAACTGATGCATATAATTATTCATATTTAAGGCATATGTAAATTCATTTTTCATTTTGACGCTTGACAAAGTTCTCTTTACATCGCATTCGTTGTTTATATCTTGCTTCTCTGTAAAACACAAAGTTCGTAAAACAAAACTAGTTTGCGAATCTAGCATATACCTCGCAACTTAGCTCTCACAGGCTATTTTGGATGCGAACGCGCATCTTAACATGTTTTAAATGATGTTCATATATTTTTATATAAATATTTCATGTTCTCTTATCTGATTTATGTATGTTAATTTGTTCAACTTTTTTATATATAAATAACTTATACACGGTATTCTACGGTCAAAATCGTTGATATACGTAAATACTGAAAATCTGTTTATGATTTTTGAACATTTATTTTGAATACCAAATAAATTAAAAAAAATTTAAAATTATTTTTATTTTGCATAAATATTTTATGTGCACTATTTTAATCTGTGCTTAACTGTGTATTTATAAATAAATTATACAGGGTACTCTGGGGTCAAAAACATAAATATACGTAAATACGAAATCGAATTTTCGCTCCTAAAAGAGAACACGTTTTTATTAAGGTTTTTCCTAAGCACAAATTTTATGATGTAAAAATATTTGAAACATTTTTTTGAATACGAAATAAATACAAGAACATATTTTTTATTTAATCTTTATTTTATATTTATTTTCCTGATATCCGCTTAACTTTCTATTTATTGTTTAATTATACAGGGTATCTTAAGATCAAAATCGTTAATTTTCTTAGCTTACATAAATTATGTCAATATTGGCCTTTTTAAGAGCTTAAAATAGACGACGTTTCTGTTTTGGGTTTCCCAGCTCTTGTGGCTATTTAAATAAATATTTGACTTTATGACTTCGAAATGTTTTTAAAAATGTCGAAAAATATTCTTAAATAATTTTACATAAACATTTAATGTTTCCTATTCAAAAGTCTGCTGAACTTTCTATTTGCAATAAAATAGGGTATCTTGGGGTCAAATTCTTTAGAATTTTTCAACTCGACTGAATACTTTAAACTGGCTTAAAATAGAACACGTTTCTTTTTGGGATTTTTCCCCTCCTCGCTGACGAATAAAATATTTTGACTTGAGCATTTTATGATTTCATAATTTGTGATATTAAAAATTTCACGATTCTAGAAATTAATCATATGAAATAAATATTTATTTTGTTTATTAATTCTCGTTTTTTTTTTGGCAATTTGTCAGTTGGGAGACTTGACCCTGTAGAGCTTTACTCATAGGCAATGGCTCATTGACTTCTTCTTTTTTGGGCGTTCGATATCATCTTCTCATGTTGGCTAATTGGTGCAGTCAGAAGTTGTTCTACTACAATCGCGCTTGGCGACGTCTAACTGTATTAATTCTACTTAAGTTTCCGGCTTTTAAATGGAAGCTAATTCTGGAATGTAGTCTATATTTAAGTCATCTCCGATTACTTCATCGCACGATGAAAATTTTTAATGCCAAAACAAATTAAACGAGTTTTTGGAGACGTCCAACAATAAGTTAGTATTAAGTTAAAATCACATAAGTATTTAATTATTTATAGGTGCGTCAATTGCACAAATGAACAGAAGCAGACATACATATATATTTACATATCTCTTTATATATATTTCTATACGTTATATATAAAGCCTAAATCCAAATTCGAATGCGGCTTGTGTCAGCGCTTGAAATAGAGCCGGATTAGCGAAAAGATAAAAAGAAGCACAAATATATATACGAAACGAAACCAAGCCAGAGTTCTGTTCTTTTTGACAAAAAACATCTATTTAATGCAACCGGTTCTATTAGTTTCTGTGAATTTTCAAGTATTTATTGTGCATAAATTTGTATTCGACTGTATGATTAGAACTGATTCTAGTTCTGTTTGTCCAATCATAGACTGTTGTGAAGCCCGTCTATGAATGTTGTACCCAAACAATAAAAATCACTAGCCAATTTAAAACAAATGAAATATATTCCACGATATTTGCACGCTTTAAAAGGAAAAGTAATAGACTAGAAATAGACTCGTCTGCCAATATCTTGATCGCATTACGCATACGCCGCATGAACATAACATCAGCTGTGCTGTTTGGTTTGTGTCTCCGCTAAGTCTGGCTGTTAAGCGTCTCTGTTAAGCTCTGCAACTGGTTTGCATTGATGCGAGTAATTTTTGTGCATAAATGTAGAAATTTTTGAAAGTGAAAGAATATCAATATAACAATATATATACTATATGTGTATATTTACAGTTACTTTTTTAATGACTGCCACTTGCCGATTGACTCGTTTAGCTGCTTCTAGTTGCGCCAAAGATTGTTGTTCGCATTAATTTTGCGCTTCTCTGCATTGCGATTAAAACTAATTTTATGGCGTGTGTTTCGGTTTGTTGTGTCTACTGCCCATAATGGCAATAAATATACTAAGTGCAACATTTTGGGTTTGGCCCATAATCCAGACACCAGGCGCTTGTCTTATAAATAAGAAAACAGAGCGGAGCATGGAAACAATTTAATTGTCGTACTTTGACTAAGCAACATGGTGAGTTTTTAGCTCTTAGCTGTCTGGCATCGTTTTTTGAATTAATTTTTATTTTTGTTTTTTTCATTGTAGCGTACTGTATTTGTATTGATGGGCCTAATGCTGCTGGGTGGTGCTACAGCCTCCTTGCTAAGCCGCACCTATTTGCCACCGCAAGCTGAGCTCACGGTGCGGAGTCCTGTTGCTGTGCAGGCACCGATCATAGGCTTGGGTGCCATACCTGAGCGCAGGATTTTGACTCCGTCTGTGCAGCTTCAACAACCACAGCTGATTCTGCAGCGTCCACAGAACGTCTATCTACCACCAGCAGCTTTACAGAGACCATCTCTACGCATAGCAGCACTGCCTGAGCGCAGAATCTTGACTTCTCCTGTGCAGCTACAGCAACCACAGTACATAGCGCGACCACAGGTGGTGCTGCAACGACCACTGAGTGTCTATCGGTCACAGCCTGCCATTCAAATACAGTCAGGACCATCTCGCACATATTTGCCACCCCAGGGAGCTGCATCCAGCCTGGCTGGGCAATACGATGTGGACTGGCGTGGTACAATTTAAAATATGTAAAAAATATATTTATATATATATACATACATATGTATCCGTCCGACGTCAGTTGGCTAACTGGTTTCAGTCCGAGCTGCTAACTATATTCTAATGCTAATTCGCACAAGAGTTCTTTAAATGCAGAAGATATTTCCAGTTAATTTGCATTTAGCCAAAATTGACAGACAATAAAGAGAAAACGCAAAGCATAACGAAACGAAGATCTTGCCAATATATAACATGGATCCAAAACTAATAGCCATCTTGTAAAGAAGACATTAACCTATGCCGAAGCAGGCAGCTACTAATGATACATATTTTATAATAAAAACTCACACATAACAGTCATTAAACCCATATATCTATTGCTCTATCAAAAATTAGCATAGACTTCGATTTATTGCAGTGTTTAAGTAGACGTCAACACTTGCTATATGATCTGGCCCGATCCATATTTATCAAGCAGACTATCTGCTTATTGTTGTTAATTGAATTAGTTGCTGAATAGTCGAATCTGGTTTTTAAATATGCGTGGATAGCAATTGCCATTACGATGACAGCAATGAATGAGAGATGTTAGCTGCTGGATAGTATAACCAATTTTTGCACGCCAAGTCCAATGGATTGGGCCATCAGTCAGTCAGTTTTGATTGATGATGTGCATTATTTCCGTCGTTCGGAAACGCTTCTATATAAAAGCCTTGCCCAGCTACTGAATAGTTATTATTCGTTACTTCAACTCATTAAGACACGGAACTTTGGCACTTCAAATGGTAAATACTATAAATACGAAAAGGATTTAATTCGGATCATAGCTGAGTGTCTCCTTGCAGCAGCTCTTTATCCTGGCTCTCGCTTTGCTGGGCTGCGCAGCTGCCGATGCTGGCTACAACTATGCAGCTCCCGGATCAGCTGCGGCTGCATCAGTTGCAGCTCCTGTGAAGGCATATGTAGGACCAGCTGCTGTTTCTGCTCCAGCTCCAGGTCCTGCACTTGTTCGTTCATATGCCTCTCCTGCTCCTGTCCCAGTTCGTGTTGCTCAGACTCATCGTGCAACTGCCTCTGCTCCTATCCAATCCTTTGCTGCTGCTGAATCAGCTCCTGCTCCTGTTCGCTCTTATGTCCCACCTGCTCCAGTTCCAGTTCGCGCTGCTCCTGTTGCTCAGGTTCATCGTGCAGCTGCCTCAGCTCCCGTACAATCTTTTGCCGCTGCTGAATCAGCTCCTGCTCCTGTTCGCTCTTATGTCCCACCTGCTCGTGTCCCCGTTCGCGTTGCTGCACCAGCTCCTGTTGCTCAGGTTCATCATGCAGCTGCCTCTGCTCCCGTCCAAACGTTTTCCGCTGCTGAATCAGCTCCTGCACCTGTTCGATCTTATGTGCCACCTGCTGCCGTTGCTTCTCGGCCAGCACCTGTTCCAGTTCGTACTGCTGCAGCTATTCCCACTGCCCCGACTCATCATTATGCTGCTGCCTCTGCTCCAGTGCAGTCCATTGCTGCTCCAGCTCTTAATGTCCAAGCTGACGATTCCTCGGACTCCACCTTTGAAGCCGCTGCATCAGCTCCAGCTACCGCCCACGCCGGCTACGAATACCGATCTGTGCGTCGTCGCATCTACAAGCATCGCGCCTAAAGCGTGTAAACCAATAATTTGAATAAATTTACTTGGAATAAAAAATGGATGTATAAAAAATTTTAATTTAGGGGATTTTATATATAAGCTATCTGTTCTTGAAGCGCTCGAAAATAGCATTATTATTTTCTGCCGAGTGTTGTTTACTCATGGGCAGATAAACTTGAATGAATTCGAGAGCTTATTATATATAATATATTATTATTGCAAATTATTTTACTCATAAATGAGGACTAACACCTTAAGAAAAATTCAAGTTCAATTAAAAGTAAAATTTCTATCTAATTGTGATTGAACTAATAAAAAATATGATATATATAACATGCAAGCATACTAACATTTTCTGCAGAGTGTTTATTTATATTTAGTTGCAAGGTTCGACTACATCTTTCTAATGCTGATCATATATTGTACGTCAGACACTTCATTTCTCATTATTGCTTATCATTCGATGTATACTAACATTTTCTGCCGAGTGTTTGATTACTGCTACTGGCTGAAATCGACCAATAAATTCATTGCACTTCTTATTCAGTATTGTATCAAAGAATATTATATGCATATGAAGCACTGCTTTCCTCTCTATTCATAGTATACTAATATTTTGTGCAGCGTGTTGCTTTTTTTAAGCTTGCAAGCTAGTTAATGGCTAACAGGCTATGATTCAGCGTCGCTGTGTGCATCGTTCGTGTCCATAAATCGAGTTGGCTTTGATTTGTGAAATTTTTGGTCGGGCGGCGGTGGCTTTTGTCTTAGAAGCGTCGTTTGTATTTAAATTGCGACCATTCAAGACGACAAATGGGTCACATGAAGTGCCTGGCGAATTTCTCACGATCGATAACAGGTTTCAAGCCGCAGATCCCATTGGAAGTGCAGTGCACTTTAAGAAGACTTGCGTATATAATTGGACTCTCATTTCCAATCAGAGCACAGACGCTATGGTAAGAGCAAAGCTGGGAATAGCAATTCGAAAGCTTTTGAATCCTTTTGAACATTTCTCTTTTAGGATCCGTTTAGACTTCTGTTGGTATGTCTGCTAGCGCTTGGCTGGCTGTGTGAGGTGACACCCTCGAAGCACCACCTCCAGTACGAGGACGACGAGGATCATCACTATCTGCCGCCGGAGGAGGAGCATGTACTAAAGCCCTTCTTCCGCAAGGACAAGCACACGAGTGAGCATGTTGTCTATCACAAGGGTGAGCAACATCACGAGCCCAAGCGTGTGGATCACTACCATCACTACGACAAGCAGCCGGACGTGAAGACCAACCATGTACATTACCAGCAGGCTGCACCACAGCTGCGCACCGCTGGCCTTCTGATCACCGCGCCCTCACAGATCGTCACACGTCGTCGCCGCCCCAATCGCGTGCTCTATGCAAGCGCACCCAACTCTGTCTTCCACACTCAGATCAATGTGCAATCGCAGGACTCTGAGTTGAGCTCCCAGATAAGCGCTGATCCTCTTGTGACAGGGGCCCTATTGCCTGTAGGTGCACAGGCCCCTACGGGTGCACAAGCACCAACTGGAGCACAGGCGCCCACAGGGGCACAGGCGCCCACAGGGGCACAGGCGCCCACAGGGGCACAGGCGCCCACAGGTGCACAGGCGCCTGTAACTTCATTGCCCAATTGCCAGTTCCCAGTTGCTGGAAATCCTCCCGCTGGCTGTCGCGACTTCGATCCAACTGGTGCTCAGCTAGGCGCCAATGCTCTGCCAGCTGGTGGACAACTGCCAGCCAATGCTGGAGACCCGCCGGGGGGCGGACAACTGCCAGCCATTGCTGGAGACCCGCCGGGTGGCGGACAACTTCCAACCAATGCTGGAGACCCGCCGGGTGGTGGACAGCTCCCAACTAATGCTGGCTTGCCAGCTGGTGGACAGCTCCCAACTAATGCAGGCCTGCCAGCCGGTAGTCAGTTGCCTGCAAATGGCTTCTCGCAGGCTGGACAATTACCCACAATCGGCTTGCAAGCCAATTTACCCAGCAATGCAGGCAACCGCAACAATCTCTTCATTGATCCCTCCCAAAATGGTTTTGCCAATCAGAATCTATTCGTGCCCGCAGTTGGAGGTCCCTTGATCAATGGACAGGCTGGTGGTGTGGTTCAGCGACCAGGTTCGGTACTCATACAAATCGATCCGGCATTTAGTGCCCAGCTGCCGGCCACGTCTCAGCTGGCTGGCAATGGAAATACAAATCAATTTGTTCCACTCTTGGGCGCACAGCTCGCAGTAGGTCAGCAGCAGGCCGTGATCCGTAATCCAAATGGCTTCATTAATGTGCTGGGCGCACAGCTGCCAGCTGGAGGACAGGCGCCAGCTTTTGGTAATGGCAATCAAGTTCAGGGAGGACAACGGCCAGCTGGCGGACAAGCTACTGTTCTGGGCAACGGAAATCCGGTTTTGGGTGCCCAATTGCAAGCAGGAGGCCAAGCTCCCACTTTTGGTAACGGAGATCCAGTCCTAGGAGCACAGCTGCAAACGGGAGGACAAGCGCCAACTCTGGGCAATCCTGTGCTGGGAGGTCAGTTGCCCACCGGAGCCCGAGCACCAGCTGGGAATCCGAATGGCAACGGCAACCCTGTGCTGGGAGGTCAGCTGCAAGCCGGAGCCCAAGCGCCAGCTGGGAATCCAAATGGTAATGGCAATCCTGTCGGCGGAGGTCAGTTGCCCGCAGGAGCCCAAGCACCAGCTGGCAATCCTACTGTTAATGGCAATCCTGTCGGGGGAGGACAGCTGCCAGCTGGTGGTCAGCTGCCTGCAGTAGGCCAAGCGCCCGGTAATCCAGTCTTGGGTGCCCAACTGCCTGCTGTAGGACAGCTCTTTACTCCCTTGCTTGGGGGTCAATTGACAACCAATGGAAATAGCAATCCGAATCTGGCTGCAGTGACTGTACGTCTGAATGGGCGGCGCAATGGACGTCGCTTGCGAAATCGCACCAACTACCAGGGCCTTAATGTCCTGCGAGGTAATGTGTTTGGTCAGCCAAATCTGCAGGGACCAACGAATGTAGTCGGCAATCACCAGGACACGAACATCATCGATGGCAGCTTCTACAGCTATCCGGGGCAGAGTCAAATGTTGGTCCGTTTAAATGGCAACCAACGCTCAGTGCTGCTGACCGATGGCGACTACTACGATGACGATGACCCAGCAAATATTGGCATTGCTGCCAGCTCGCCGGAGCTGAGCTATGCAGCGCCCCAGCATAAAGGATCTCATCACAGGGCCAGCTCCAGTAGCCTGCACCATCAGACAGCTGCCTCCGAGCACGGATACCACTACAAGAATCCCAGGCATATCAAATGAACCCAATCAACTCCCGACTCCATAATGTATAATACGTATTTCTAAATATATCACGGCATTTGCTAAAAGAGCAGCAATCAAATTTAAAATCTTGTTGCCTACTTTCGGGCGGACACTGCAAAAGATGGCTCCGTTTCCGCTTAGGTCAGAGCCAAGCTTCAAAGCTATTGCTGGCTCACTTGCTTGAGCTTTTTAGCAAAGCTTTAAACTCTACTACAAAACAATTCCGGATACAGCATAAGAAATTCACAGGCAAACTAGTTTTGTTTTAGAATTATTCTTATTTACATGCAACATGCAATATAACAAGAATTTTTATTAATCTATTTTTTTTTTAATTTTATATTTTAAAATTTTTTAAAAATTTTGTCTTCCAATTTACAATTTTTTTATAATTTAAATATTTGTTTTAACTAAATTTAAATACATTTTTTGAACTAGTTTTTAAAATAAAATAAAATGCAAAAAAATCTATAAAATCATTAAAAACTAGGCTTATATGAATAAAAACTAGGCTTATATGAATCTATCTAATAACCGGTTTATTAAGAAATCACTAATAATTACAAAGGCAACTCAAAGCTAGCGACGAACTAAGAACTCTAAAAAAGCTGGCTACAAATTTTAAGTATTTATTTATAAGCATTTAGTTTAATACCAAGCTCAATGGGAAAATTAAGTTTTCGTTAAAAAAAATTGAAAATAATAATAATCAAACCTATTTTCAGCTGCTTAGCCATTTTGGCTTTTCTGTCTCACTCACGCCAAATTTCAATAGCAGAAAACATCAGACGTTTATAGGAAACTAGTTCAGAGCTGTGCGACATTTGCAGCACAATGGAAATAGATACACACAGGTCATGCAAGTTTTTGGACATAATAGAAAGGAAGATGAGCACGAAACCAATTGCCGGCATAAATTAATGCATTCATTTAGATACGATTCTCATGCAAATTCAATAAGCCAAAAAAGTCGGTATATATGTAGATGTACATAAGCTAATATAAACATAGTTTTGACCAATCGACTAAGTAAAGAAAAAAAGACTACAAATGACTTAAAAAAAACTTGGAGATGAAGTGGGTAGAGCTGTCATACAATGTAAGATATACAAAGCATATAATAGACAGAGTTTTAAATATATCTACATATTTACACAAATGTTTATTTAGCTACTAGTAAACTAAGGCGGGCCCACGCTGTATTGTATTGAATGTGTTCAATATGTTTATTATGTATGTTTGCATTTCAAATCCAATATTTGACAGCGAACTCTTAAATCATAGTCAATTGTTGCCAACACGCTGACCTAGCAGAAGCAGCAGTAGCAGCAGCAGCAGTAGCGGCATCATCAGTTGCTGTCAGTGGAAGTGGCAGTGGCAGTGGCAGTGGCTGCAGGCAACTCAAATGCAGAGTAATTCGTTAGGGATCAGGCAGCTTATCAAGCAGCCGATCTCATGGGTGGCTGACCTCTGCTTGAACGTGTTTCCAATTATGAATAAGCTATCAAGCATATATATCGTAGTATTTACCCAAATTAAGCTACATATTATTTCAGATTAATTGAATTTAATTTACGAGCAGAGGCTAAAGTAAAAATCAATGCATAAATTTGTTTCGAAAAGCTGCCGACAAAGTTTTCGGTCTGCTGCTGATTACAGAAATAGGTTTTCGAAAATGTGTGCGAATTTTACGCTTTTTTTATTTGGCTTTGTCCATTTTTTATCTTTAGTTCTTTATTTTTTCTTCATTTTTTATTTTAAAGCTATGCAAAGCGAGTGCGGCACAGTTGGAGCGGGAGGCTGAGAGTTCAATGATCCCATTTCTATGGTTGGATAATTGGGCAAACTTCGCTTAATTGGCACATCTGGTCATTTATATATATATATATTTATATATATATATATATAAATGACCAGATGTGTATATATATATATATATATATATATATATATATATATATATATGCACAGAGAGATAAAGATGAGATGATGATGAGGTGTGTTGTAAGCTTGTAAGTGCTGTGTGGGAACTGGCCAAGAAGGGCTGCCCGCAGCTGACGTCATGCCAAAAACCTTAATGTTCGACTGACAAGTGATTAATTCACAGTACTGAAGACAACTGAAACACGCAATACGATGCCTCGCTAAGACTTGTGGGCCACCAGCATAGTTCAAATAATAAATAAGCGAAACAAATTTGAAAGGAACTTGGCGAATTTCTTGTGCCACGCGTATGAATTTTTAATAGCCCAGCCGCGTGTTGGAAGTGTGCGAGATTATTATTATTCTATTTATGAATCTGTAGTTTGTTTTTGTTGTTTTCAGTTGAGATCCATGTCGCTGTCGGCACTTTCTAGTCGCAGCCGACGCGCGCAGACCGCGTCGACAATATTTGAAGCGAGAAAGACTGCAAACTGGTTTCCCGAATGATTTATCATACATTTAAATTAAACACAACAAAAAGAGCAACCGAAACAAAAGCTTAATTTATCATAAAAGACTAAAACGTGTACTTAACTAAAGCAAATGGGCAAGCAGAGGCATCTATACTCTATTATATTAAGTTTTAATTAAGATGTTAAGTGCACATTAAGAACTGGTTTTTAATTATTAAATTTATATCCAAATAATTGTGGAGCCTTCGCGGTAAGCCGAAGCAAAAGTTAACTCACGAAATATTTCAGATTAGAAATTAGAATTTGCAGACTTCGAAATCGCATATGAAAATATGCCAGACTTGACTTAGTCTCAGGCAGGCTGGCACGCTTTAACAAATTACTAATAATTATTTTATTAAATTATATAAAAATTGTTTAATTGCAATTGACAAAGGCATGCCACAAGGCGTAGCTCAAGGCAGCAACGTTTATGCACGGAATTCCTAACAATTTTATTTTACTAGACTGCGCTCGGCTCAACTGCAAGTGCTGGTTCAATGCCACAGCTGTTGAGCTCGACGGCAGTTAGGGTATGCGATTAGAAAACTAAATTAAGGCGCGCGTGTGAGTGCCGCTTGAAGGAAGCGAAGTGAAAGAGACTCTCGCTGTTGCTGGCTGCTTCTAGATGCTTAAGCCCATGCGAATAATATTAATTAAAATAGAATTTGCATAAATTAATTCAGTGCAAAAAGGTTTCTGTTAGACAGAGCGACGCTGTTAACAAAAAAGAAAACAAAAGAATAGAAAAAGAAATAGAGAAATAAATTTGACAAAAGCCGACAGCAGTCGCAAAGCACTTTAGAGTCACAAAACTAATTGAAGCGAGTCTAAAGGGTGAACATATCGAACCTCTGGCTATATATTTCAGGTCTCGCTTTGGGATCCCCAGCCTTGATTCCTCTCTAACTGGACACACGTTTATTCGACGTTTATTTTTGGCAGACCATTTTATGTTTAATGGTCATTATGATGTCTTTTATATTATATATATATATATGTACATATACATACTTTTTTGTGTTCTCGATTCTACGATAGTCGGCGGGACGAGCTTAACTGCCATTCACTAATTTGCATATTTATGCCATTTCAGCATAAACATTAATTCCGAAATGGCACTTTTAAGTGCTTGGACCGGCTCCGAGGGGCAGTTGCTGCGGCTGCTGCGATGAGACAACGCAGTCTTAGCCATTATAATTACGGCTGTGATGTATTGTCCGGCGACATTTATGGCCAACTGAACCAGTACAACAAGAAGAAAAGGTATAGAACCAAAAAGTAGTTTAGAATAGAATCAAACAGTCCTCGCTGCTCATAAACTAGACTAGAAAATGAGCTTCGATTCGATCGCCAGATTAGATTCTACACCATCAATTGGAACTAGAGCTGGTGATTTGTCGAAAAATACAGGAAATCGAATTAGTATTTGCATTGTTATAGTTTTGTTTTATGGCGAACACAAGAACTCTAATTCTTGATGTGTGGATGCACTGAAAATAAATGTAAATTTTGATGATCTCCACATTTGCTTTATAGCACAAGTCAATTAGACAAAACTTGTCTATCAGCTAGCCAAAATACTACTAAATAAATATATATATATGTATTTGTTTGTATGCCTCTAGGGCAAGAGAAAGAAAAGTACTCTAGCCTTGAGTATGCCAAAAAATTTTGATCAATTATTTAACTTGAGCTGCTTAATTCTAAGAATCAGTAAGACTTCAGCTATTGGTCTTCCCCGCCTACTGGCAGCATATTTATCCTTCAGTGGTACGGAACCAATTAGTTCTATTAGTTGGCGCCTAACTAACGAGCCTGATGCGATCGATAGCACAGTTTAGCATTGAGACTAACATATGGCTTCGCATCTAGTCAAATGTTTGCAATTCCTTTTCATGTTTCGATTTGCCCAGATCACAGATCATTAATCATGCCAATAGTTGAGCTGTGTGGAAGGTAATGTGTGCCGCAAATTGAGTTATATACACTGAAAGAAACCAAACTGAGTCATAATATGCCATGAAAGGCTCAACTATATTTAGTTTCTGAATAAATATTAGCTTAGTCTAAGTCTATGACTAAGTATTGTGTTGAAATGCTCAAATAAAGTTGAAATTTTGTTTGACATTTGAAATTTTTATTTCATTTCCAAATGACTTAACTCTTTTCTCGTAGTGTAAGCTCTTATAGTTTGCGTTTTAAAAATTTATTATTGTCTATTTGATGGTTCGATAAGTGGTGGTCTATTTGATGGTGCCGATAAGAGTTGTCAACAAATGAATACAACTTAACTATTTGGCAGGCGATCTAGCAAATTTTGAAGGGGATCTTCACTATGCGCCGCTGCTTAGGGATCCAATCTTATTTCTGTGAAGCTTGTGTCAAAGTGTGAATGGTTTGAAATACAATATATGCGAGCGTGTAGCTCATATCAACACATGATATCCGGCATTTAATTTACGCACCAGATAAACCGAAAATGAAATATGCCATCATTATAGCATCTTTTTGAATGGAATCGAATGCCACGCCGCGGCAGTTCCTTTAAATGATTAATGAACAGCGACGACATGGCACAACAATGGCAACAATGAGCCAAGGCACAATAAACACAAAATATGAGCATAATACGTACTCGAACATGGGTATAAACTCATATCGTTTGATTGAATAGGCGACTTTTATTCGTGTCTAATTTGAATGAAAAGCGAAAGAGAGAAAAACAACACAAACTAAATCGAAGCAAATGAAATCAAATCTCTGCTAAAGTAGACGAAAACTATAAATATTTAGTTGTATCTGTGTGTATATATATAAATGTGTGTGTGCGTGCGTGTTGTTCATCAAATGTTTTGCATAAGATTAAAGAAAACAATTAAGAGAATCCGTCCGACCGAATTGGCTAAGCTCGTTGTGCGAATGTAAACGCTGACGTCTACGTTGACGCCGACGGCGAAGTCGCTGCCTGCTCGTCTCTGAGCGAGTTTGCCAAGCGAGCGTGGTCAGTTAATTGGAGCCACTGAAATGGCTTAGAACTCGTGCAGAGTCTGGCCGTGCGAAATTTACAGGCGACGTCGACGTCAACGTCGACGGCTACGGCATCGGCGGCAGCAATGCAGGGCAAGCAGCACAATTACAGCGAGAAGAATTTGTATAAATACCAAAAGGTTCTTCGTATTTCTTCATTAGAGTTTCGGTTTTACTGTAGTGAACAACTCAATTCAAGCAGTCAACATGGTACGCAACATATTTCGAGGAGCGGCTTCAGCTCATCAAAATACAAATACATCGAGGAATATCCGACATCCAAATCTTAATCAAATCTCTCTCTTTCTGCTCAACAGAAACAAATCCTGATTGCTTTTGCTGTGATATCAGCTGTGGCCGCTAGCAGTCTCACCTCGATTAGCAACGATTACTTGCCACCTGTGCAGGAGGCGGAGCCAGCCATCTCTGTGCCTAGCAACGAGTATCTAGCTCCAGTTGGCCAGATTGACCAGGGTTCCCTTGCTGATGATGGATACCGTTACAAGACCAACCGTCGTGTTGTTGTCCGTCGCAACCGTCGTGATGTGAGCGAGCTCTCCAACGAATACCTGCCCCCAGTTCAGGCAGTTAGCCAAGCTCCAGTCCAGTATGCTCCCGCCCCGGTATCCAATGAGTACCTGCCACCTGTCCAGTCTGGACCAGCATATGAAGCTGCTCCCGCTCATGAGCTGGCCGATGATGGTTACCGTTACAAGACCAACCGTCGTGTTGTCTACCGTCGTCGTCATTAAACCCTCATCTGAAATGGCTAAGATCAACTAAGTGATCAACTTGTACTCATTTTGGAGTGCAAGTTTAATAATATATAAGAATTTTTCTTTTTTTCGTTCACGAAATAAAAGTACTACGAAAATATCTAAAACTTAAATGGTTTTCATTAATTTTGTTTTACTCATGGAAAGAGCAGGATTATTAAGTAACATCGATATGGATTTTCTTCTAAGTGGGTTTGCTCTTAAGCCGAGCTCTGAGGCAGTAAAGTCCGCCCACAAATTGTATAAATTTATATAAGTTAAGCCTTAATTTATAAATATTATGTCGTTTGAATATCTGATGTTATGTTTATTTTAAGCAATGTGCAAAACAAGAATCGATAGTAGATATCTAGAGTTTATATGCGAGAGTTTCTTTGAGCTGATCAAACGGGGATTTTTATAGAATCTAGCTTGAAAATAGAACAATAAAATCTAAATCAATGCTTCCCATAGTAGTTATATCTATATATCAATAAATGTGGGACCGTAAGCGCATACGCGTGTTTTACATCAAATTTTCGTCTCTGCAGATCCAAACAAGTCGATCTCTCTAACGCTGACAACGTGTGGCTTATAAATGAGATTGGTTCCTTTAGGGAAGAGATTTCTTAGCTAATATAATGATACTTGATAGCGCATTACATAAATAAATAAAGCATAAAAAATCTAATGAGTTTTGCTAGCTATCGAATATGCATTGAGGATTGTATTTCTCCTTTTGGCATAATCTTAAAAATGCATTCTGCTCAATCATAATGCATAAATAAACGGACTGGAAGAATATAATATATTAGAGTAACTGGAAAAAGTAAAATCAGTTTTACATCTACCTCAAAGTGCAAGAAATTGGAGACACAGTCTAAGAGAGTCCTGAGCCTAGCCAGACTTCTAGGCACTGCAGCACACAGATCTGCTATCCCAGGCACTAGAAATTTATCAAATATTCCCCTAAAACTTTTCTGTTGCTACATCCATTAACTTTTTATTTTTGCTATTGTCTCTAACCCTAAGAATGTATTTTAATTAATTTCAGTTTAGATTCAAGGTTAGCAGGACATCTGTAAATATTGAAATATAAATAGAGGATATTATATATGTTACTTTCGATTGCAGATTCATTATTTGATAGCTCAATTCAGATTAACTTCAACTTCTACTAAATTATCTTAAATCTTAAAGACTTTACTTTAAGCAGTCATCAAGAAACACGTTTGTGTAGCTTCAGCTGTCATCCTTAGGTTATGCAACACTTTTTTGAGGGGGTGTCTGCCAAAAAGTCTGGTAGTTTCAGCTCGACTCGCATTTAAATGAAGCAATAATCGAATTATAGCGAAATCTAATTACAGATTAATTAGCTTAACTCAACGGAAGCACAGAGAACAAGGCGGCACGCGCTTAGTTGAGAGAAATTCTGAAGCGAGAAGGGGGCTAAGAACCATAAAAAATGCTAATTAAAACGGATTATCTTTTGGCCAGTTTTGGCCTGGCCAATTAAAGCTCAAACTGCAAGTGGAAGCGGACATCAATATTCGAAAGCACCAATTGATTCACTGCAAATAAAAATATATTTATGTATATTAATAAGCATGTGTGTGTGTGCGTTTGTGTGTATGTATTTGTGTGTGTAGCACGAAACCTGTATAAGACCTGATTAATCACAAAAAGTAAAAATAACTATAATAGATTTATTTTTTTGTGGTGCTGTGTTCTTTTTTTCTTTTGGACCCAAAGCAAAATACATTAATTTAAAGCGAAGTCGAATGCTAATTTTGGTAGCACAGCAAGCGCTGTGATTAGAATCATATAAATATCCGGCAAAACTTAGCAAGCAGTATCATTTCTTCTTTGGATTCTACAGTTAGCTGAAGAACAAAAAGCAAGCTAGCAAAATGGTAGATAGACCCCACTCAGATCCTCTTTGAGCGACTGCCTGGCATACGATACTAACTCGGTTTGGTTTTTCTTTTTGCAGAAACTGTTGTTGCTCTGTGCCTTCGTCGCCGTCGTTGCCGCGGATGTTAGCCATCTGCCAACCAACCAGTACCTGCCACCTGGCCGTGGTGTCGCCTCCGCACCAGTTGCTACATATGCCAGCTATAATAGCGCTGCTTCGGCTCCAGTTCAATCCTACTCGGCTCCAGTTCAATCCTACTCGGCTCCCAGCTACAGCGCTGCTGCTTCGGCTCCCGTCCAGAGCTATGCTGCTCCCGTTGCATCGTACTCGGCTCCCAGCTACAGCGCTGCTGCTTCGGCTCCCGTCCAGAGCTATGCTGCTCCCGTTGCATCGTACTCGGGCTCTGCTAGCTACAACGCTGATGCTTCCGCTCCAGTAGAGTCATACAGCGCATCCGCCGAAAACTACAACGTTGCCGCTTCTGCACCAGTCCAGAGCTACAGCGCACCAGCCGTTGCCGACAACTACGAGACCTCTGCCTCTGAGCCAGCACCTGCCCACAGCTACTCCTCGGACTCTGGCTACCGTTACAAGACCCACCGTCGCGTTGTCCTCCGTCGCCATCGTCGTGGTGTGCCTTCCAACGACTATCTGCCCCCAGTGCAAGGCGCTGCCTCCGTGCCAGTCAGCGACTACCTGCCTCCTGTAGCTTCTGCTTCCGCTCCAGTCCAGTCCTACAGCGCACCAGCTGTGTCTTATGGTGGTGCCTCCCTTGGTGGTGCCTCTTATGGTGGTGCCGCTCTTGGCGGTGCCTCTTATGGCGGTGCCTCTTATGGTGGTGATAGCTACGACAGCGCTGCCTCTGAGCCAGTCGCAGCTCACAGCTACTCTTCCAACGATGGTTACCGTTACAAGACCCAGCGTCGCGTCATCCGTCGCCGCAGATACTAAATGGAAATCTATCGAGGCTACCCAGCAAGCAGCGCAAATGTTAACTCCAACTGAGAAGTTGACTTTAATGATTTGTACGGCAATTGCCAGGGAATAGATTTAATAAAGATATACCCTTCAAACGATTCACAAATGTCTTTTCAATCTTAACAATATAATGAGAACATTTTGTTGCCAAGCAAAAAAAAATTAATAATGAATTAAAAACATAAATAAAAACTGCAAAAATTGCATAAATTAAATATATTTCTAAAGCTTTTTGTAGTTCAAGTTTCGCATTATAGAAAAATATAGATTTGCATGAATGTTGACAATATAATATAATAATTTCAATACTTAGTCTGGCTTCTAAAAGCGACTATTAGCTAAATATTTAGCATTGCTAATAAGCATAAGCATAAGTTATAAACTATATTGATTGGTACTTTTTTCATTTATGTTTTATTTAAGCAGCTAAAAGTCTTTCCACATCAAAGCCAAGAATACCCACATGATCCGGTATGGCAGCATAGAAAAAACATTCACAATAGGTTTATAAAGCCTACTTCGGCTGGAAATGAAGTCAGTGCTACATCGAAACCTTGCTTTTGTTACAGTAACAAAAGTCATTTGGCTACATAGCAAATTCTTTCCATCTCGAATCTTGACTAGTTGAAATATGTTCACCCTCCGATCTAAGGAATATAAAAAGAATAAAATGAGACATAAATAAGTCGAGACTTACGATGTATATGCTGGTTTGCAGTTAAGGTTTGGGTCTCAATGCGCTATTGACTCTGAGCCGCAACAAATTTAACTGAATAAGAAAAACAGCTAGAAATAGCTAGCATACTTTTCGCTGCAATTCTGTTAAGCCCTTATGAGTATGCAGCTTAAATCTCTAACTAAGCTCTGTTTAATACTTAAACTATAACATACTAATAGGGTACTTGTTTTTTTTTTATTTTTTATTTTATTATTAAGTGTAGAAAAAAATAACATACTAATAGGGTATTTGTTAATAATAAAATATATACAACAAAAATATTAAAAGTTTTCTTTTTTTGAGAGACTTTAATATTTATAATCAGCAGATTCTTATGCCAGGCTACTTTTCTAATAAAATATATAAAATATATTTAAAATCTAGTAAAAATGAACCTAGATAGTTAGTCTTAATTATTTTAAGAACAGAAAACTTTTGATGTAGACTTAGATATAAAATTTATTTATCTTGAGGAATGACCATTAAAGCATCGCAACCTCAATATGGTTACCGTGGAGGAGCAAATCAGAAGGCTCACTTTTAGGTGCAGTGCTAGAATGATTAGACACCGTAGAGACTTTGAGACTCTTACACTTCGCTAGGCCTTTGAGGCAATTAAAAAAAATGGCCTAAACGATTGTCTTACTAAAAAGTTCCTCTGCCAATCTGAGAAATTTTATCATGAGGTTGTTTTTTTTTTCATTATCTTTATAATTGTATTGTTAAGTTACTACTACTATTACTAAGAAAACAATCTTGCGCTCATCTGGTGTATGAAGATATGTAGAACTTTTTTCTGAATTGAATTATGAACTTAATCAAAACCTAGATTGAAGAGCCTGAAAGTCAGATACACAGATAATTCAGATAGTTGACGTTTAGTCTGTTTTAAGATGGTCTCTACTTTAATTTATCAATTTACAGAATGACTGTAGTCCATAAAGAGAGGAATCTATAATTAATTACTGTCTTCTAACTCTATACAAACTAAGTTGATATGCAAAACTTATTTCACTTCAAAAATGGATTTATTTAATATATTTATTTAAAATTTTATTTTATAAAATGATTCCAAAACATTCCTCTTCATTGACATCGTTCGATTTATTTCGGCTGGTTTTATAAACATATTTTAATGACTAAAATTCGATTGCAGAGACGGCGAGCGCAGACTCAGGTACATCATTAATATTAAATATTAAATAAATTTATTATAGTTAATTACAATTATTCAATATCGTAAGTTCCTATGGGCACGCAGAGGCAATCCTGTCAATTAATAAGTGTGGGGCGTGGCATTTGACGGGCCTAATAATTGAAGGCGATTGCGGGTTTCGGGTAGGAATAGCCCTCGCTCTTGGGTGCCGGCGGCGGCAGATACTTGGCCGGAGTAGGCGGAGGAAATGGAATAGAAGGCTTGGGGTAGTTGTAACCCTGTTGCTTGGGCTGAGGTGGCCGTTGGGTTACCACCACGACGGGTGGCAAGTACTTTGGCGGAACTGTGGCCTTCACAACAACTGGCGGTGGGAATGGAACTATTGGCTTGGGATAATTGTATCCTGACTTGATCACCACTGGGGGCAGCGGTGGACTTGTGGGCCTTACGGGAGGAATATATTTAGGCGCAGGTGTTTTGGTTGGAATAACAGGTGGAGGGAATGGAATTGATGGCTTCGGGTAACTATATCCAGACTTGGGCTGCTCTGGGGGCAGATACTTGGGTTGAGGTGGGCTGGTCGGCTTTGCGGGAGGAATATATCTAGGCGCAGGTGTATTGGTTGGAATAACTGGTGGAGGGAATGGAATCGATGGCTTCGGATAACTATATCCAGACTTGGGCTGCTTTGGGGGCAGATACTTGGGTTGAGGTGGGCTGGTCGGCTTTGCGGGAGGAATATATTTAGGCGCAGGTGTAATGGTTGGAATAACAGGTGGAGGGAATGGAATCGATGGCTTCGGGTAACTATATCCAGACTTGGGCTGCTCTGGGGGCAGATACTTGGGTTGAGGTGGGCTGGTCGGCTTTGCGGGAGGAATATATCTAGGCGCAGGTGTATTGGTTGGAATAACTGGAGGAGGGAATGGAATCGAAGGCTTCGGGTAACTATATCCAGACTTGGGCTGCTCTGGGGGCAGATACTTGGGTTGAGGTGGGCTGGTCGGCTTTGCGGGAGGAATATATCTAGGCGCAGGTGTATTGGTTGGAATAACTGGTGGAGGGAATGGAATCGATGGCTTCGGATAACTATATCCAGACTTGGGCTGCTTTGGGGGCAGATACTTGGGTTGAGGTGGGCTGGTCGGCTTTGCGGGAGGAATATATTTAGGCGCAGGTGTAATGGTTGGAATAACAGGTGGAGGGAATGGAATTGATGGCTTCGGGTAACTATATCCCGACTTGGGCTGCTCTGGGGGCGGATACTTGGGTTGAGGTGGGCTGGTCGGCTTTGCGGGAGGAATATATCTAGGCGCAGGTGTATTGGTTGGAATAACTGGTGGAGGGAATGGAATCGATGGCTTCGGGTAACTATATCCAGACTTGGGTTGAGGTGGGCTAGTCGGCGTTACAGGTGGCAGGTACTTGGGTGGAGGTGGGAAAGGAATTGATGGCGTGGGGTAGTTATAGCCTTTGCTGACTGGCTCAGGCTGTGGAGGGAAAGGCACCACAGGGCGTGGGTAGGAGTAGCCATCCGTGAATGGCACCTTCGGCTGTGGATAATCGTAGCCTCCATGGCTCAAGTCCTGAAAGAAAGATACCGTTAGCTGCCAGCTTCAGACATATTCGTGCAGGCATTACACACCTGATGGACATCCTCTTGAGCGACGATGGAGAGCGGCGACAGGCACTGGGCGGCAACAGCGCACAGCACAATGCACAACAAGCGAAGTTGCTAAAAAGAAACAAGTTAAAGGTAAATAAATATTAAAAGTCAATTTGTTAAGCATTAGGCAAATGGACAGCATTAATAGTCTTCAACTTAGCCCAAATATAATTTGGCAAATATATATAGATGTATATTTGTTGTAATATTTATGTAACTTTCAATAAGGTCACAATTGGCACAGCTCTTCAAACTAATTGGGCCAGTTTTTAACGTTGTTGGCTCCATTTTATTTAAATGACTTCGGTTGAACGAGCTAAAAGCATTTAGGCGCATTTTTTGGTTTATGTGCAAGCACTCGGTGTTTGCAATGCCGTCGAATGTTGGCTCCCAATGACAGATTGTTCATTAATTATGTGCCAAAGGCGCCCGCATGCCCGCTTGCCTCGCAGAGTTATTGGGGCAGCGAAAAACTGGTAGCAGCTGCCACATCGAGTTTCAAGTTATACTCAATGTCAGCGCATCTGCAATTAGCATATGGCACTAAGAGTCGATATTGTTCTAATTAATACATAACGTATTAACGCGTTGTTACGCAATTTTCGTATTTTTATTCTCGACTAGTTCAAAGAACTCGCTGCCGCTCGATCGGCGTTTGATTATTAAAGTTGGCTTAATTAGGAAACAGCCAGATTTATTTTAATCGACTAGCTGCGAATTCCTCGACAACTGATGACCTTGAGGTGGAGAAAACAAATTGCGAACTAATTTTAATACCCTTGTCTCAGCTATCAGATAAATCCGTCACGTCGTTTGGAGAATCGAAATCATTTGTGAACATGTCTGAGAGGATTGGAGACTTAAGCTTGCAACCGTCTGCTTCTTTATGATATAGTTTCATTCCGAGCCATTAAGCTGATAGATCTTTTGAGAGGCGAACAAACAAGTTGTGGCATTCGAACCCGGAATCTAGCCGCTCGAATTGAAGCACATAAACTGTTGGCGGGGGAGACCGAAATAGAGATTTGCTTCCATAGCATTAAAGACCGCCTTGAGTGAGCTCTCGAAGCCATAAACTTCTAACGACAAGCTATCAAGCGAGTCGGATTCGCAAACAAATAAGAGAATCAAAAAACAAAGCCAAGAACCCATCTAAATGAATATAAAAATTGTTTCAAACTCCCACGCAGCATCAAGACGAGTTCTTTTGATTAATTGAAATTAAAACAAAGCAGCAAACGGCAAACAAATTATAATGCCACTCCACACAGCAAAACTGTCAGCTGTCAATTCGACAGCTCAAAATTCGTCTCTTCTAATGTGCAACTGCAGCTGGAGCTTTGGAGCTGCTGGAACCATTAAAGCTAGTTCAGAGTTGTGCTCAGTGCTGGGCCACATTCATTACAGTTTTATGGCCTAAACAGCCAAACGACTATTTTCGTGATATGTTCACCCTTAAGTCACTGCCCAATTAAGTGTAGAAGTTGTTGTTGAAATGCTTCTATCTACGATAGACGATGTGTGTATATGGCTGTGGCTCAGGTGTCATACAATAAATTCTTAACGTGATGAGCAGAAGGCGGACCGCAATTCTCATTTTTTATATAACTCAACGCATATGGAAATGTTTTCAGCTATATTTTTGGGCACATGGTTTCTAGATGAGCTAAAAGTTTCCGCTCTACTTAATTAATATGTATTTACTTCTTGATTTTGACTCGAGCTAACTCTCAGCTATTATGAAATCTTTCGACAAATTGCCAAGTCATAGTTCTTTAATTCTCATAGGCATTGCAACAGCTGCACCCACAACTAACTGCTATTGGGTATCTGATTGTCAAATCACGACAACTCACTTTTACAACAATGCGTAATGACAGAGACAACAGCAGCAGCAATCAGCTTAAAGGCGCGTTAATTGTCACAATTGAGGCGTGTGAAATTCCCTTTTATATGAATCGTATCTCTGGCTCTGTCTCTCTCCCTCTCTTGCTCTCTATGTGTGAAGACGACCTTGAGGCGCAGTTGAGTGTGTCTGTTTTTATGGCTGACATTAAACCAAGACTAGCTGAACCCCAACTTCTATTCTGCTGCGCCGTATACAACACATATATTTCATTCATCAAGTTCAGTTATTTGGTTGTCGGCACATCGCGCATACGCAACGTTGTCAAATCTCTTGCCACATTTGTGGCAGCCAAGAACTGAGCGGCGAGCGTGAAGCGCGCTAAGTGCTTTTTTCGAGGGTATTTATGAGTGTGTTTCCGGTTGGTGGCTTTTCGCATTGCCAACAAACTTTTTTTTCTTTGGTCTCTTGGCTAACACACTTACTGAATCAGCCAAGCCATTAGGCTTAAGGGTCAGTTGTTGTCTCGCTGCTCGCATTTTGTTTGCCACCTGCTTTGGCAAAGTTACAGTTTTCCCCGTTTTTGTTTTCAGTTTTCAGTTAGTTGATTTTTGTACTCGCTGCGATTTTCTTCAATTGTAGCGCTTTTTATGCAAATTTTCGCTGTTTGTTTTGCTGTCTTTTTGCTGCTCGCTTGGGCAATTTTGTTTGACAGACAAATGGCAGCTGGCATCGACGGCAACTGCAACTGCAACTGCAACTGCAACTGCACCCCAAAAAAGTGTGAACCTCTCTTGTATTCTAGCCCATTGGCTGATATTGTTATTACTTGATTGTTGCACTCTTTGGCGACTCACCATCTTCATTCTGGTTGCAACGACGCGCGGGACAAACTCTATTCGCAGCTCAACACTTGCGTCAGCAGCTAAAAGTATATATGTGATTTATATATAGATTAGCTTAGATGTTCTATATAGCACTGCTTTATATGGCAACAGCTACCCACTTGTAATACACAGACTCAGATCACACACACAGGCGAGCGCGGCAGTAAAACGCTAGGAAAACGCGCGCGATTCGACGTCGCACGACGATGCGAGATGCGAACTCGAGCAGATTTGAAGTTCAAATAAGAAAAACAGCGCCAACGCACAGCTTATTTATAAGAGCATCAAACCGAACAGAAACAGACATCGCACCCGACTTCGGACAATACTTCGACTTGACTCGGCTACGCATGCGCCGCAGCTGTTCGTCGTTGGTGGTTGCTGGTGGTGCAGGTGGAGTTACTAGCAGTTCAAGTGCAGCAGCAGCGCAGAGGCTCTGCGTTGGAGTTTGCGGCTTCCTGCCTGCTGATGCCTGTTCGTTCGATTTGCTACGCAGCTCGACAACTGGGTGACAGAGTTGCCAAGGCAGCTCACATTTGGGCTACTGTCTCACATTTGATGTGACCCTGAATGTGTCGCAAATTGGCCGACTCGCTATAATTACAGCTAACACTTTGGATACCCAGTGCTTGACAAGATAGGGGTATATAAAGGTGTAGCTTAAATATATGAAGCTTACACTGAATTCATAACGATAAGTTTCAAGCTAGCTAGAATCAAAGATGTATACCCTGTACACATTTAAAAGGGGGTAGATGCCCATAAAGGTAGTGAGTGTGATTGATAAATGAAATTCACTCTGAAGCATTTAGTATTTCCAAAATTGCAGTTTCTTACATAGAAATTACATTTATGAATACCCTGTACTTGTGAAATATGAGCCTTGATGTACATATGTACAGTTTATATTTTAGTTTAACCAGTTTGAGAACAGGGTATGTGGTAGTCTATCATGCTATGAGTATTTTTATAGTTCCATTTTGAGAACAGGGTGTCTTAACGTCAGGCATTTTAAAAGTGATTTAACACAATTCAAAGTTGAGTAAGGGGCATCTAGTTACAATTCGTATACAGGGTGTAACGTCAAGCATTCTACAATTGATTTGACACTGTTCAAATTGTAGTATAGGGTATCTCCTAGTCTATCATGCAACTCACTTATCAGTACAAGCAAACTGACAGTTCGTATATAAAGCTAAGCACAAGTGGCTTACGTCCATTTAGAGGGCATCTGCACGTCCATCATCTATCCGATTCGAACTGCTACTTGCTCAATTTTCTTTTGTCTGCAGCCGTCTGAGAGCTCTCGTTGCGCTTGACCTTAGCTGCCAGCTTTACTAAGCTGAATTCACTCGAGGTTTGTCGATTAGCAGTTAATATTGCTATAAAAGTAATGCAAAGGCGCGAGATTAATTCAAATTTCATCAATCATCGGCTCGACTGGAAACAAAATCATAAATTTCGTAACTGCACCCAAAAAGCGAATGCAGCAGACAGAAAACAAAATAAATATTGCGTGGCATTTTCGGGCATTCAGATTCGAACTTAGATTCTATGTAGAAACCTTGTTCAAAGCATTTTTAATTGCTAATTAATGTTGTTTTACTCATTAATCGAGCTGCTGACAAATTATGCCCGAGCGTTTAATGGATTGCATAGCAGTTGCTTTTAATTGGAAACCCTAAACAATAAATCCAAGTAAACTAAATACACAAAACAGAAACAAAACTGAGCAAAATATGCTGGTTGAGCTAAGTTCGAAACTAGAAATTCAATTATTGTTAATCATAATATAGCCGAATAACCGGAAGATAGACGATATCGATTTGTACATTGGTTCAAGTATTTCAACTTTCAAATGGGATACTTTTGTGGCAATCAAAGCAAAAACAAAGCACATTAACAGCTCTATAACTTTAAAGTCCACAAGTTTAGCTGAACGCGTCGACAAGTCTGTGTGGAATAATTAAAAGACGAACACTCTATGCTGGATACTTCTTAAGCCGCTTAGCTTTAGGAATATATATTTATATATATATTTATGGAAATAGAAAATAATTTAATTGCGCAATTTGTGTGCCAGCTACGAGCGCGACTAAGTGGACAGGTTCTCTTCGATTTGATTTGTATGCGCTCCCAGCGACCGCCGACTGTCAGGATGTGGCTAGGCACTAGTTAAGATGCTCCGTGTCTGGCACATAAATAATAAGTTCACATGATGGTTATTTCAGCTTTTTTATGCATTTTGGACACCTGACTACCACAATAATTTCGACGGCGGCATACAAAGCGCAGTTCGAACCACAATCGAATCAGCGACAACAAACAATGAATCAGCGACAACAACAACAACAACAACGACAACAATTTTCACCCACTGCAAAACCAGCGAAGAGGTTCAACAAACCTTACCTGGTTTTTTGAAAATTATATTGAATATGTTACAATATGACAAGTAATTAAATAAATTAGCTAACAAGTGAGCAAGGAGAGCGGAGTGGATACAAAGCCGAAGCATAAATGCTCTATGTGGAGACTACGCTAAAAATATTTATTGAGCAAACTTATGACTATTTATCTATACAAGAAGCATTCCAATTAATTTCAAGATTAATTTGATTTGAAATAAATTTGAAATAAAAATAAAAAGAACCGAAGGTCGTCGCATATTTAGAATAGAAATATTTATTGAAATTGGATTTTAGAACTTCTGCCTTTTCTCTATGGACAAAAGCACTTCAAACTAATTGTAAGATTCATTTATAATATGACAAATTATTAAATAAATACTAGGCTGTACTTATTAGAAATAGTTGTTGCCTAAACTCCTCTACAAGACCTCTTGAGCTAGCTGTATATACATAGAAAATTCCAATTATTTTTAAGATCAATTTTATTAGCGGGCAAGGCGAGGCAAGGCCGGACGCCTAAATCATTTACTTGGAGATTAAGCTAGAAATATTTATTGAGTTGGCTTCTGACTTTTTTGCTGCTGCCTAAAGATTTCAATCAAGTTTAAAAATCAATTTAGTCTGAAACAAATTGAGAAGGCAAGAAGGCACAAGGCTGAAGCGCGAATGCTCTACGAAACGTCAAAGATTTTATAAATATATATAAGATAAGGTAAGCTATTGGGGTTTAACTATAGATAAAGAATGCCACAAATTTTTTAGTGTATTTTTTAAAGTTAAATATAAACTGATATCATAATAAAACAATTAAATATATTTTTAATATAAGAGAAATTTTTTGAATTTATACAAAAATTGGCACATACAAAACACAATCATCACACCAAAACAAAAAGCGAGTAGAACACAAGTTTTCAGTGAAAGTAATGGTGTTTCTCAAAAAGCTTGTGGATGATCTTTTTATTTAATTATCCATTCAACCAAAAAATGTGCGCCATAAAATGGACGAAGTGCATAATAAGTATGACAACAGAACCATTATAAGTAATTTGCAAGTGTTGCTCTAGCATAGGTCTATCCACAATAAAATGCCGAGCCACATTCAACAAAAAACAGCTGTCAGCTGGCGACTAGGTTGCCAAGTAAAGTAGTGTTGCCAACTCAAAAACTAGACAAGTCAGCCTAAATACAGCCTAATAAATAACAAATTTATCGGTTCAAAATAGTCACCAAGTAAAAACTTGGTTATGAAATATAGTTGAGCAAAACACTAACTCCGCCTGTCTTTTGAGTTAATAAAAACTAATTGAATTAAATGCAATATTAAATAACTGAATTTAAATTGTCTATTGACAGAAGCTGTAATAAAATTTGTGAAATTCGAACACTCAAAACATATTTGAGCGATGAGCGATGAGCGATGAGCTGTGAAGTTAATCGCAAATCGGCTTTATTTTCATTATAAATTTTGTCGGTCATAAAAGTAGCAGCAGCGGCAGCTACAGCAAATGCCAGCTATAAACGACGAGCAGCAACAAGTTCAACTTAATTACATACATCCTACACCAAGTCAACAACAGCAACAACAACAATTGCTGCGTCAACAATTTTTGCACTTTTGTTCCAAGGTCAGTATCATCCACATCATCAGCATCATCATCATCATCGGCAACACAATGAATTATCGTTTTAAGTGCCATCTGATCCTGTTTGCCAAGAAGGAAATGAAACTGAACTGCGATCGGGTTCTTTAGAAAGTTCACTGGCTGGCTGACCTTAGCGTACAGGATTTGTTGATGATGCGTTTTTTGCTTTTGTTTTTTTTTTTTTTTTGCCTTTCTAAAGATGATGTAGCTTGAGACAATTAAGTCAGCTGGTCGAGATGTGGCCTTAAGTCAAATTCAAAGCTTCCCGTCGCAAATAACGAATGCCATATAATTTAGAATGCGTCTATTCTCTGTATGGCGTTTCCTTTTTAGAGTACATTTGCCTTAAGTTCTGATTATATGGCTCACTGAACGGCTTTAAACGCTTTAATCTAACTCTTAATGGTTTCACAAATCAAACAAATGCCGTAAAAATAGATTTATGAACATTTCGGCATATTCATAAATCATTCCACCCACAAATAGATATTTATATAAATATAGCATGTCGGGCAGATAGACAAGCAGAACGGACAAACATTCTTTAACAACTATTTGTGTTGCAAATGTTGCGGAAGTTAGAGGCTAATTAAAGCGCTTGACTTTTAGAATTGCTGGTAATAAAATTACGAGCTGTTTAAATTTTAGGTTTTGTTGTTGTTTTGGGGCGCGTTTCTGGTCGGATGCATTTAGAGCTCGGTGGCAACAATTGATTGCCCTTGCTTTTGCCAACTCGAGCATGGGACACACAGGTAATTAAGGTGTGCGGGGCATCTCTCTCCCTTCCTCTCCCTCTCTCTCTCTCTCTCTCTCTGTTTCTTTAGACACACCACGCAGCGCGCCCTGTGGTGCGCCATTCACACATGAAGATCGCATGAAGATCAGCGAGCAAGGTCAAAGACGAAACTTAAATGCCTTTTGGCATGACCGACACAGCGACCGACAGACCGCAGGTCTTGGCCAGGCCAAGAGATTCTCATTTGCGGCAGCAACAACCACAAAAAGTCGCCAAATTGCCGCAGCTGAGCGAAACAAGTTTTATCTGTGGCCAGTTCAATGGTCACGCATTTTGAGGGTCGAGCACAGGATGAGGTTCAAGTGCGTATAACAATGATGTCCTTGGTGGCAAGATGCCAGCCAGGCCAGGCGGAGATGCCGCACAGTCGATGCAATTCGTCTTGCTGCTTGTTATTGTGTCTGCACTGTGCATACCAAGCAGCCAGTCAAACGAAAACGAAAGACTTAAGACACGAACTTGTCGCAGCAGGAACTGCTGCAACTGCTGTAAGCCGTAAGCCGTAAGCCGACTTGCATATAGATTGATTATTTATTTATAATAGCATAATACGAGAGGGCTGACTGATTGCATTTTAACGCTCGCCGCCCGATCTGAGCGTTCAAGGCGGCCACTAATGACCCGATTAGCGTCTAATTGAATTATAACATAACCCACGCAACGTTCAAACAAAGGAACGAACTCCAAATTGCTTCGATGAGATCGAGCGCACTTGAACTCTGAAACAATATCTATTAAACGTTTAAAGCTCACATCCGAAAAAAACCTGCTCGATGACTTTACAATTTTTGCCCGTTCCTTAACTGCGAAGAGGGCATATTGGCTTTGTAGGGGCTCAATATGGCAGGTGGGAATATGTTCATAAGGGCGAACAAATTTATTTGTGATTAACTTGAGCGCTTTGTGGCTTGTGAACGAGTATTGCGTAGTCGGTTACCTTTTGCATGCCTGATTTTTCTCGACTTGGTCGACAATTGGTTTGTCCGGCTTCGATTGCATTGTTTTGGCCATTGGCAATGAGTGTGTTAAACCCAATATATAATTTTCGTAATCATGCACTTTGAAACTGGGGCGACTTGCTCATGAGCTAAAAATATACGGGATGTGCGATCAGTTGGGAATGAGTGCATTCCACTTGGAAAGCTATTGTTATTAATTATTAATTATTACTCTGTTGATATAGGTATTTAAGCAAACAAGCTTAATGCTAAATTTAAACACATTTTGAAGTAGCTCTCGCCGCCTTTGTTAGTCTCAAATAGAGAAGATGGCGCACATCAATAATCATAAATTTCGAAGCATTTGCCACGCTTCATTCATAATAGCATAGAGAAATATAAATGTATATAAAAAACGTGATCAAATGATAATTTAATAGCCAATTTAACGGCATTGTCTGTACTAAACAAAACGCTCTTGCTATTGACATTTATAAAGCAAATAAAGACTTAAACAAACTGTAAGCAAAGGTCATTAACGCATCGAATTCTTGGCTTAATTTGCACCTGACAAATCATAAGCTTTATATAACCATACATACACAAATTTGTCACTCATTTTGTTTTTGGCAAGGTTCACATAACACTCATTCATCATTCATTTGGCATGTAAATTTTATGCAAAGCCCAGTCGCTGTATCGAAGTGATCAAATTAAACGGTTATTGTCGCACCATAAGTCTGTCGCATTGCCGCTAATCTTGCTCTGCAACACTTCCGCGCAACCTTTTAATGCTGCAGTTCAAGAGAGTCTGACAGAGAGACAGACAGACAGACAGAGTCAGAGACTGACTGACAGCTGGCTGTGTTTATTTATGGCCCAATAGCAAATTGTTTACCAAATGTCAGCTATAGCTAAGGGCTTACATAATACTCACACACACACACGCATAGTGGGATTCATTTGTTTTATAACTCTCATAAATTACGCATACGCCCCGTAACGCATAGCTTAAGAACAGCAAGTAGCACTTCGATAGCGGCGTGACAAAGTTTTTACCATGCTGTCAAGCACTTCTGGTCATGACTATAACATTTGCATAGAAATCGCTGACCATTTGCGGCGGCGGCTGCTGCTGCTGTCACGTCGCCCGCACTGATTAATTCGAGTCTTAATTTGTTTGAAAAATCTGTTAATTAGCGCAAGTCCGAATGCCGTAAAAGACGCAGCAACATTTGAATTTCAAATAGATATATTTCGGCTCTTTATTTCGGCATCAGTTTTTATGACATCTAACACTAATTATATGTATAATACTTATTAATGTTTGGGGTGTTACGGCTAGTTCTGCATCGTCCTCTAACCCTCTCTCTCTCGCTCCCTCGATTCTATGGGTCGTAAAGTTGAACAGTTGTTGAAACGCTTGATCGCTTACTATAAATTATAATATAGAAGCTTAGATTTTTTTGTTTGTTTTTTGTTGCTTAATTGAAGCAATTATCCTTGTGCATTAAATTGAAGCTAAAGTGCGCAAACTACTTAAGAATTTTGGTCAAGAACGCAGCTACAGTAAATGCTGGCTATGAGTGAGGCAAGAGTTGATGCTCATCTAGTAATAGTGTCCATAATGTCCATGATGATGATGCAGTCCATAGTAGCCGCCATAGTAGGGATAGCCTAGAGTGGAGTGCGGCAGAGCAGAGTTTACAGCAGGCATTAGATGAGATCTCGATGCTATGGACTCACCGAACTCACCCAGGCCGTAGTAGCTGCCGCTGTAGTGTGGCCAATAGCCGCCGCCGTAGTAGCCGCCGCCGAAATAGGGCGATGAGTAGTAACCGTAGCCATAGGAGGCAGCGCCCTGCAGATCCTTCTCCTCGGCCTCAACGCCTGCCACCAAATCGCTGCTGGCAGCTTCTGCCTCCGCTTGAGGACTTGGCGCAGCTTCTGAACCTGTCAGCAGCAGGCAGAACAGCGCCAAGGAGAGCAGCAGGCACACGCAGTTGAAGCTGAACATGTTGCTAGATTAGTTTGTAAGTTAGTTTTTTTGGGCTGGTGCTTGGTGGTGCAAATGCCACTTGAAGTGTACAACTGACTGACTCTAGAGCTGTGCTGCATGTTTATATAATGGCAGCGATTCTTGCAACGTCGTCGCCATCAAAGCGCAGCGACAAAACAATTGTCTACGAAAATTTGCCTACAATTGGGCGACTCCATGGCTGCGTGTGTCCCCAACGCTGCCCCCCACCCACACTAGCCAGATTATCAATGAAGCGTACTCACAGCAACTCGTGCCTCGAGGGCCACGACGGGGCTTCTATTTCTTGCATGACCGATTACTAATTACAATGCTGCATCTCTATCTGTCTCCCTCTTTGTTGTTCCATCTCTCTCTTCGTCTGTGTGTCACTGTTTTGGTCAGTGGGGTCAATGTCGTAAGCAATATCAATTCTTTTAAACCTGCCCATAATTTATTCAATAATTACAATTGCCCGCTCACATTGCATATATTCATCAAAAGAGGTTCAAAAACCTTTCTGACGTCAAGAAAGTTACGCTTACATAATGAAAAGGCGTTCTAAGAGTGAGGCGGCGAGCGGTGGGGATTCCCACTCTGAGAATTTCAATTTATGGATGTCCGTTCGCCAACCCGAAACGACAAACACGAGCACTATAAATTAGACTTTTGCCAAAGTGGCTAAACAACATTCTAAAACAATAAAAGCAAAACTATGCACAAACTTACTATAAATAATTCAAATAAAATGAAAATAAATAAATAAATAAACAAAATGAATGTGGAACTGAGCAAGCATCAATTTGGCATCTTCACAAAATGTAATACTCGATTAGGTGAACGTAAAAAACCAGATCATAAAATGAACCAAGCAAAGCTGGCGTTAGCAGGGCCAACATGGCTATGTAAAGCCTAGCTTGGAAGCTGCTCTAGCTGAAAATTCTTAACGGAAGTTTTCAAATGTATACATTTATAGCATTATTTAACTAACATAATTAAGCTATTTTATATTCTATAATACACTCAATTTACATTCAAATTAGCTTGAGATCTCTGCTCCTGCAGCTAAACATGAACAACTTTGATCTGGCGGCTTGAGAAGATTATTATCGCATCTCTTATACACTTCTCATCTATTTCACTAACTTGTTCACTCATATATAATTCACACTTGTTACGAATTCCAATGGAAGACGTTCTTTGGAGCGAAGATCAGTTGTGCAAAGATTCCTGTAGCTCAAAGAGGTTCACAACTTTTTTTTCATTCAAAAATGTAATTTGCCAGTTAATCAGGTCAACATTTGTTTCTGTTCTTTATGCCTTCATCTCTCTCTAGCTCTCAGCCAGCTGCTAATTGTTGACAGCTTCTCAGCTGTGCGCTGGGTTTCTCAGCAATTTGTATGTTGTGCGGGGTCAGGGTTCAGCACAATGGGCTCGAGCATGTTAAGAGAACAAGCTAAGGTCTCCAGCTACCCGCTACCCAACTCAGCTACCCAGTTAGGCAGCTAATTGCCCGTTTGCTTATCTAAATTGCCGCGTTAGCCAAGAACCTGCGCCACAGCCGTTGTAATTAGCCAAATTAAATGCTTCGCTGCCCAGCCGCAGACTCCAAAGACTCATTAGGCCCGTGCATAGAACCAGGGCTGAAATTTTGTAAACTTATGAAAATCTGAACAAATTTAAATGGAAACAAGAATGTAGCGAAACTGGAAGCAAGTTTGCCAAATGATTATTTTTGTTTTAGAAAACTGCCCCCGCAGCCAGTCAGACAACAGTTCTAAGCACAGAATATTATTAATTCATCTTTTCATTTCCATAAAATTATAATCAATGCAAGCAACATTCGGATTTTAATCTAACTTAAAGCTGAAGACAAATAAATAATATTTATTATTGCTAAACTATTCCAGATCGAGCGTCGTTAGAGACTCCTGTGCCTTGGGCATATCGGGAAACCGGTGGAACAGCGCCGCGGTTGGCTTCGTTTCGCTATTCAAACGCGTCTCGTAGATCAAGCCCTCATTGTTGATCAAATACCAGTTGGGCGTGGGCGTAACAGGTACGAATTCCTCCTGATTGAGCGCCGTGATGGGCGCAACAGTGGGCAATTTCTTGGAGATGTCATCTAACTCCTTCAGATACACATCCAAAGCGCGATAGTCGCTGTTGTTGTGCACCTGCTCGGCGGGCACGAACTGTGGCCCAGCTGCCAGATCGTGCTCCTGCCACAAATTGCGTATCGTGGACATGACATCCGCATAGAGCACGGAGTCAGAGGAGCGCTGAAGTGGGCGAGCCACTTCCAGTTGCTTTTGATTGCGGTTATTTGGTGATTTACGTGAGTTCACCAAGCGGCTGGCCAATGGAGTTGCGGAAGTTGTTAAGTTCGAAGTTACCTTTGCTTCAGCTGTTGTTGTTGTTGTTGTTGTTGCTTTTGTTGTTGTTGTGGTTGCCTCATGACGGAAGTTGCGCCCCCCGGCAGCTGTCTTTTTGTCTTTTTGTGCGCTTAGTCTGAACAGCCGCTGGCGACGTCGTCGACTGTCGCAGTTGGTTGCATTTCCACAGAGCGTAGACTTTGACTTTGCTTCCAGCTCATGCGGCTCCCCTTCATCGGGCACAAAGCGCGACGCATTCTTTAGCAGCTCACCTATGTGCGCCACTAGCTTCAATCCATGCGGCACATCGTAGCTGGAATTGGAGCTCGTCTCCGTTTGCCTCTTTACTCGCTTGCTGCGCTTGTGCTCCTGCAGCAGGGCAGCACGCAGTCGCTGCTGCTGTCCACGCTGAAAGAGCTGCTGCTCGAGCGACTTTTGTGCAATGAGCGTGTGAGTCTGGCGCTGTATGTGACGCTGTCTCAGTTGTGGCTGATGCTGCCTTTGCCGCTGCAACAGCCGCTCCGTCTTGCGCACGGAGGCCAGTATTTCCATGGGCAGCTGCAGATTGTTGGCGAGCTGCGACGACAACTGTGTCTCCTGTGTCAGCAAGTCGCCCTCAGGCGACTTCACTCTGTGCTGCGGCGGGGCGCCACGATTGGTGCTCAGCTTACGTGGCTGCTCCCAGACAATGGGCTTTGGTGGCGCGACACCTGCTGCTGGTGCCTGCAGTGGTTGCCTTTGGCGCAGTCGCTTCAGCTGCTGAAAGTGTGGCGGAGGCTCAATGATGCGTATCACATCACCAGCATCGTCGTCCACATAGCCAGGACGTATGTCCTGCAGGTGTTGCGGCACGCGCTGAGCAGGCTGCTTGGGCTCCGGCCGGGAGACGCGATAGCCTGCAGGCGCAACCGAACTCGACGTATTCTCAATTCTAATGGCCCAACTGTGCTGCAGTAGCAGCAGCACATAGATCAGCCTACACAGGCAGCTCCTTGGTATGATCATTTCGATTTGCACTTTTACTCTCACTTTCAAGGCCAATTTTCACTTTCAACGAAGTCGACGGCTGCTTCGCAACTGCCTCGAATCGGCGCAATCATTGCGACTTTATAAAATTTCCTCAGCGTTTTTCCAATTTTCCAGTTTATAGCCCCGACGTTTGATTGGGTTTCGGCACTTTTCTTCTTTGCCAACTCATTTCTCCTACAGCCATGACGCGCCACAGCGCTAGCGTTTGCGTTCGCTTCGTGCGACTGCAATGAAAGCGAAACTGGCAACTGGCGACTGGCAACTGGCAACGACAACAAATGCAACTGCAGTGACGTTGCAAGTCGCAACAAATGCCGTTGCATTCAATGTTATAACCGGTCAAAGACGTTGCCCATGCCTGCTACCCCCCAGCTCTATTGTCTCGTCCACATCTTCTAGAGTTTATTTGTAGCCATGTCTTGATTTAGAAACCCACTTTGCATATGCAAACACCTCTCCAGTTTGGCACATTTCAGCTCGAAACTAGTTTGAAATTAAATTTTCAAGTGTGTCTTTGTTTTTTAAGTCGAAATTCATAACTCATTAGTGGGCAAAAGCCGCAGCTGCCACTTGGCTGAACCTAAACTTGAACTTCACATAGTTATATATACACATATATTTACAAATAGATAAAGGTGTTGCTAAGGTGAAAGCAAACTTAATTAATTTCCATATTTTTAATTTTGTTATTCACGCGCATTTTTAATTCAAGCATTTGCATTTCAATATTTACATTTTTCTTGCCATTTGAAATACGCGCCTAAATTTGCTTGCTGTCAAAAGCTGGCTGCTATGCTCTCAGTGTCAAGCGAAACGTTGGAAATGAAACAAAGTTGGGCAAATAAAACATTTGCAGGTTGAAAATGGTTTTTTGGCTGAAAATAATTATGCAATAAGTCTTAAGAATATTTTATTTAAGTCTTTAATAATTTAATTTAATTTAATGTTTTTTTTTATTATTTTAATAAATTATTTTATTGCTAAAAATTCTGCCGTTTGTTTTCGAAAACATCGCTACGAGCTACAAAATAAATAAATAAATAATTAATGAATAATTAATTAATTAATTAGATGCTGTTAGATATAGCATTAGGTAAGATTAGGCAATTACGTCATTCAGTTGCAGTAACTAGACAATGATAGGAGGCACAACTACAAACTAAGCCAGACGAGTCTCGATGCGATTAATACAAGCTAATGTTAGCCATGGGAGTATTGAGGTTGAAAGTGGGGATTTGCATGCTTCTTAAACCTAATGATCCACAACCAGCGGCTGCCAGGCATTGTCGTTCGCATAGCCATAGCGACCAGCACCACCAACAGCACCGCCAAGCGCACCACCCGCACCAAAGCCCATTCTACGCTCGTGCGAAGTGGGTAACGCATGCTGATAGACCACGGACATGCCCACGCCCAGATTAACAGCAGTCGGCAGCGTAGCTGCAGTTGCCTTTACTCTAGATGGATAACGTTGTTCCACCAGCCGCGACTCCTCGACAGCGTAGTCGGGCTCCTGATCCTCGAGAGGGCTCGCAGCTGCCGCATCGGTGCGTCTGTTCTTCTCAAAGAAGTCAATGATTGGATGATAGCTATAATTGATGCGTCGAGTGCCACTGCTGTTGTTGTTGTTGCTGCTGTTGTTGTCGAATATGGAATTCACATGTGGCGGCTGTGGAAGTGCCGTCGATTGCTGCTGCTGCTGCTGCCTCTGCTGGACGTATGTGGTTGGTAGTGACGTCTCTGGGCTGGCTGGGATCGAGCTGCTGGGAGCAGCTGCGACAGAGGTCGGCGTTGCGAATGGCGCATAGAAACGTGGTCTCGACTTTTGGAAACGCTGTCCCTGGCCCTGGCCGAGGGCAGGGTTAGATGATGCAATTGAGCCGGATGCAGCAGCTGCTTGATGGGCATGGGTGGCAGCACCGACACCGGCTGCGGCTGCTGCTGCTGCTGCTGCGGTTCCTGTTCTGGCTGGTAGAGTGCTGGTGGCTGCTGTGCTCGATGGTTTGCTGGATAGGTGTACGGGTATCCGTACTCGAGTTGATGCTCCTTGACCTCCAGTTGTGGCTGCGTGGGTGGTAGTAGTGGTTGTATAAATACGCTTGCGCTTGATGGGCACGCGCGGCTGCTCCCCAGCCAATACGTTTACCTCTTGATCAGCCTGCGTCTCGCTGGGCGACAGATCCATGTCCACATCCACGCGCGCCTCTGTATGCTGCGGCCGCCGGCGGCTCAGCTGGCTATAAAACTTTTTCGAGCTGGAACTGCCAATGGAGCTGCTACTCTTATGGCCCTTGTAGCTGCCAATAGCAAAGGGATCGTCATCGTCTGGCGGACTTAGATAAGGACCAACACTAGATGGCGCTGGCAGCTTGGAGCGCACCTTCTTGCTGCCCAGATAGCTGAGCTCGTTGTTAGGTGCATAGCTCAGGCCCAAGTCATCCTCGTCGCTCTCATCGTTGTAATCCAGATCCTCCTCGTTGATGGTGCTGTAGCCGTTGCTGTTGCCATTGTCCAACTTGTAGCCGGCTGGCGTGTACTCCTTGGCTTGAATGGAGGACAGTGGCGGAAACTGTTGCCGGTAGCCATCCACCTGGCAAGAGCAGCAGGTGGGCACCTTGAATATGTCCACATGCAGACCACGCACCTTGTCCCAGCTCAGCAGTCGATGGTAGTTGTAGACCTGCGAGCAGTGCGAGCGATACGTCTGCGCCAGATACGAACAGCTTTCGCCAGGATTGCTATCAAGCAGAGAAAGCCAATTAATTAGAACACTTGATTACGGCTTAAGTCTTAGCGATGCAGTCAAGCTTTATTGCTAATGGAAATAGACTGACTTATGAATAATGAACGATAAACACAGCGTTGCTTTAACCACTAGGTGTGCTTATAGCAGCCAACAGATTGACTGAGTGTCTGCATAAACTTATCTCTGAGCTTGTTATTTGACACTTCTAGACACGAGCATCTTTCTCGAATATTTTATCGTGTTTTCTTTGGCTACAGTTTACATATCAATCATGCTTTTCATAATGTGTTCTCAATATTCCTCTCTCTCTCTTTGCAATCTCTTACTATCTTGTGCTCTTTGTTCTGTTTTTTTTTTACTCTCTGTTGGTCTGATTAATTAATTAAATAATTCAGTTCACCTCTTTTTTTTTAGAGATTATCTTAGTTTTGTTTGCCTATTTACTTTTTATCGCTCTCTCTTTGACCCTTCTGTCTATCTAACTTCTTTCCAGCTCGCTAGAGAGAGCAGCATGTCTATCTCTATATTTCTGTCTTATATTCTTTGCCTCTCTCTCTTAGTTTCTTATTTCATTTTATGTGTTTGTCTGCTCTACATCTCTTTCTTTCTCTCTCAGTTTTTTTTTATTTTTAACTAACTAATGCTGCCTTATCTTGGTTTCTGAATCTCTCATTCTTTGTGTAGTATAATATATTCGCTCTCTCTTTCTCTCGCTCTTTTTCCTTCGCTACCTTTATCTCCCACAGTCTCTTTTACTTACCATCCAACTCTATCTTTCAATCTGGTTTTATCTCCGTATTTTTCCCTCTCAGTCTTTTTCACTTAATGCCTCTGCCTGCTTTATATCCATATCTGTTTCTACCTCTCTGCGACTCTCTTTTTCTATCTCATTTGCCCTGTTTCTCCTCTCTCTCTCTCTGTCTATATTTCCTTTGATCCCTCATAGTCCCTACCCAGCCCTATCAGTGCCTCCCATCTTTACTTCTTCCTATTAGGCAACCCTTGACAGCATCATGAAATTTGCGCTATTTGCCTCTTGCACAGTTTATAGCTATTACTGTCTATTATTATGTTGAGCAATTATCTTAGCTGTTATTTAAGAAATGAAACCAACTTTGAATCAAACTTAATTGCAAATGAAGATGACCACGCTTAATAGCTCCCGCATTAACTGAACCAAAAAGCGAAAATTGTTGATGTAACTGTGTTTCAATGATAAGTCATAATTATTGAATTGCACAATTTTGATGTGAATAGTGAAAGATATGCTTAATTATAGCTCACCTGCACTTCTCGAGACGCAGTGTCTGCGTGTGTTGGCCCGTATTGACAATGAACTTCCATTCGCCAGATGCTGCTTTGGCCTTCTGTGGCCGGGCATAGCGGACAACGCTCTGGCACATGCCGCCAGCGCTGCCCTCGTCCTCGCGCCTATAAGGTTTACATGCAAGAGAAAGGCAATAAAAATGCATTTGAAGACGAAACGATTTCTAAAGATCTTTTAATCGGCTGCTTCACTCACCGCTTTTTATTGACAATATAATCGTCGAACTCGTCGCCAAATTCAAGATTGTTGTTGGGCTTATCGTAGAACTCGGCCAGCAGAGCGCTCATCGCATTCTTGTGCCGCCTGATGCTGCCCATGATCTGTTCGCTGCGTGGAGGTGAAAGTGAAGAGTGTTGTGTGTGAAGAAGAGAGAATACTAAGTAGGGGGGACCACCGAAACCACTAAGTATAAGTGTGCAAAAGCAATTGGAGGAGGTGTACCACAAATAAATTAATTTTTATTTTTAAGCTAAACATCTTACTACAACTAGACTAGGGCGGGAGTAACCGTGAGCAAGCCAACCAACTAACTAAGCGAACCTTACAGCGGATAGTCGTCGGTACGTATGCACATGTTGTTGGTGAAGCGCTCGCACTTCTTGTGCCCCACCACAATTGGACTGTGGGAGCTGGCCGACGTCTTGGGTCGACTGCGGCTGTATGGGGAGCTCTGCACGCGCTTCCGCTTAATTGGCGCCATCTTGTAACTGGCTTGCTGTCGCTTGTGGCTGCGATAGCGAGGACCTGCTATCAGCTCCTCGGGACTAGGCAGCGGCTCCTCGGCGCTGCTGCTGTTGTTCACTTCATAGAGCCGCTCGTCGGCAGTGATAGGCAGCTGGGTGCCGTTGAGGCCGGCAAAAGCGAGATCTTCGATTTCCTCGTACGTCTGCGTGGGCGTGGGCGGCAGAGTGGAGGCGGCTGTGGTTGCAGCTATTGTTGTTGTGCCTGCACCACTGGGCTGCTGGAAGGCTGTGGTGTTCAGCTTGATAGTCCGCCCCGCTGCACCGCCCAGCAATTGTTGTTCATTCACCGAAACGGGCACAGAGCGCGTCAGCTTGTGCACAAATTCGTTGGCTGTGCGTCGCACACGCTTGCCGCGAGTTGCATTCGATTTCGATTTCAACTGTGGCAGTGGCTGGGCGGCGGTGAGCGCCTCATTGATCATCTGTGGATCGAGCACCTCCGACTGCATCTCTTCGAAAAAGTCCTCCAGCGAGCTAGCTGCCTGCTCCTGATCATCCGCCGGCTTGGCGCTCACATCTATGGTGCCCACGCTGTCGTCCTGCTCTGATTCCTCCTCAGTAAACAGATCTTTGCGCTTCTGCAGCGGCGTCTGTCGCAACGCAGCAGCTGCCAAGTCACTGCCTAGCTGTATGTACTTGCGCGCCGAGCTCTTTACCAGATTCGCCAGATCATAGACGATAGGCAGCAGCAGCTTCTTATCATCGCCAAACATCATGCGAACCTGCAAGGCCAAAGAACGTCTTAGACAAAGGAAATTTATATGTGGAGATCACTAAGAATCTGGACTAGGATCACGTATCGTGTTTGTTCACAGAGACTGCACTGTAACTGCCTAGCTCACCTGGTCGAGCCGTAGTTCGTGACCCTGTTTGGCATTCATCTGAGCCGAGATCAATGCAGAAAGTGCCAATCGCTGCTGCGAGGATAAGGCACGCAGTATGGGCATCACCTCAGCAAACTTCTGGCGCAGCACGCGATCCGTCAGAGCCTTGGCCAGTGCAGTGCGCAGCACCTTCTCACGCCAATCGAATGGCGGCAGCTGCTTCTCCGGTTCCGGTTCATCCAAGTCAACGCTAAAGTCTAGCATGTTATCTTCCAGCTTCTTTTCGGCCTGCTGCGCCGCCTGCTGCTCCTCGCCCAGCTGCCAGTCATCGTTGCCGGCTGCGGCATCTGTTTCCTTGGCGTCGGCGAAATCAAAGTCCAGCAGCTCCTCCTCGCTGGCGTTGACCAAGTCCAGGTAGAGCACACAATAGAGCAACGCCCAGAAGAGGCAACCAAATGCGCGGCCCGCTTTCATTTTCCGCTGCGAAACAAACGAAAGTTGATGAGAAAATGGGCGTTCAGATTGCAGTTATTAAGACGAAATTAAATTCCACAAATAAAAGCACTCAAAACTCACAAAAATAAAAGCCAAAAAAATAAAGCAACGGCAACAACAACGAAATAATTTGTTATTATGCGTCGCACGCTTTCAACACCGCATTCTAAACGAAAGACTTAGGCAACGAACTTTTCCTTTCGTTGCCACAGATTTGAATTTATTTCGTACGCCTTTCCAGCTGAGAGTAAAAGCCATTAACAATTGTAATAAAACCGTAAACAGCAGCAGTTGCAACCACCGCACCACCAAACCACCGCACACGGTGTCAGCGCTAAGCATAATCAAGTCATGACAGTGGCTATTACAGCAGCCACCGCTGCTGCTTTTAGGTAATCACCATTGGCCTAGCCATAGCCATAGCCATAGCCATAGCCATAGCCATAGCCATAGCCATAGCCATATTCATAGCTAACGCTAAATCATTGTGGCCAACATCATCTTCTTCGCCTGCTCAACAAGGCGTGAAGCATCAAACAACTCATAAGTGTCGCTGTCAGTGCTGCTGCTGTTGTTGCTGTTGCAGTTGCTGTTGTGTGGCTGCCGTCAGGTTTGCAGTCATAAATCAGGCAACCTCCGCGCGCTTTGATCTATGCAGTGAAATGGGCAAAGACCTTGTGGTTGATAGATAACACACCTATTACACTATTCAACAGCGTTGAAGCACTCAAAAAGATGTAATAGCTTAATATGCTCGGAGCATATCAAAAATGTGCTTTCATTTTGCTTCTGATTACATATATATGAAATTAGATGTTGCATGAGCTCTAATTGACGCGGAAACTTGATTTTAATAGAGTGTAAGTAAGCTGAAATAAGTTTTTAATGGCATAGCTTTTTAAGCTCATATCAATTACTGCTATCAATTCACATTCATCTGAATAAATTTTCTTTTTATACTCTTTCTGGTAGTTACATCAAGAAATTTTATCAATTTAGAGCGTTCTTGACCTTCAACTTGATTAAGTGCAGTTGCATCTGCACAGATTATAATGACTTGGCCTTCTGTGTAGCTCTTCTTATGATGCATATAAAATGATAAATTTCATTTTTCTCTTTTATATCTTAAAAGTAATATTCTTTCAAAATTCCATAGACTTCAATTCTTCGAACTTAAAAAGAGTCTTACTTAGCTAAGTCCATGTTTGGTATACTTTTTCTGATTTATTTTGATAACTTCTCTTGATAAATATGACAAAAATCTATATTATACTAAATTTTAATTTTTTAATTATTATATTTATTTAATTTAATTTTAATTATTTTCAAACTCGTTTTAAGATCTCTTGATATGGCATTACAAAAATATAATGGCATGACCATAGTTGATAAAAATTTTTAAGATTTTAGTCATATATTTTAGCCCAACTTGGGCGAGGCAAAATTCTAAAATTGTTAATAATTATAATATATATAATAGATATCTTTATATCTTGTTCATAGTCTTATGCTAGATTAAGATTATGCCATGAGTCCTATGCCAGATTGAGTAAGCACATCTATGAGAGCTCAGTTATTTAGCTGAATTATATTAGTTTAAAATATATATTTATTTTATTTTAGCATAACTAGGAAAGAATAAATAGACTGTATTAGTATTTGACTAAGTCTCTTTACAGTGGAAGACAAAATATGTGAAATTTACAGCAAAACCTTGATAATTATCAGAATGCCTAACAAACAAATAATTATAGACAAATACTTTGATAGATAGCACAATGAAAATCTTAAATATGCTGAACATTTTCTTATATTAAGATAAGAACAGAAGAAGATAGAAAGAAATGTTTAAATTTCTGTATTATTATGAGATGTATATAGATTATTTTTTTCGCTTAAATAATTATCAGATTAGACTTAAGTAAACAACAATATTTATAGTTAGGCCCGCCATAGTTAGCTTAAGTTTAATTACTGTACCTAATTTTTTCCTAATCATTATCAATCATACTTTGGCTGCTGTACTTCGTAAGGTGAACTCCCTATCGATCAGTTAGTCACGCCTGTGCCCCCAGCTTGAACTTGCCTACATCGATTTACATACACATATAAATCTTTAAATATATTTAGGTTTTTTGTTGTCACACAATGGAAATGCTTGCGCCCACGGAATGCTATAACAATTGCATTCGAAAGTGCTCGTCTGTGAATGCCAATGGGAGCTGACAAATTCGCATGCTAACAACACCCAGTCTGAATGCCTGGCTGGCTGACTGGCAACAGCTCCTTGAGGCATCGCTGAAGGCAGCATCCCGCAGTTGCCGTTGCCGTTGCCGTTGCCGTTGCCGTTGCCGATGCGCTGACCTTTGCTCTGTTGAAAAGTGAAAACTTGGCTTGGCTTTATCTATCGACTGGTTGACAGTTTAGAAAAGGCAGCCGGAGACATTAACAGGCGCCGCACAGTCAACCAAAACAAGTCACAAGGCCAGTAAATAACACACATACATTTATATATTTATATATTTATATATATATTTGTATATGTATACAAAGAGCCGCTGGCAGCATCTTCAGGTTGCATCTTCAGTGTGCCATGCGGCCGCCCCCAGCTGCCAACGAGCTGCGATTTGTGCACATCGTTTGTTTTTGCGCAGGTCGTGAGGCTGTTGCCGTTTTGGCCATATCTTCAATTTATTTTGCACACCTGCGCACAGAATGCCATTGGCCACGCTTAAAGGCCGGGACACACACATTGAGAGAGATAGAGAGAGAGGGAGAGGCAAGCGCTTCTGGTTTTTATTTTTTTTTTTTTTGCATATGCTGCGCTGGGATGCTGGGCACTGGGAAAGTGCTGTCATGTCGCCATGTTGCAATGATGCCATAAATCAAATTAAGCCAATAAGGCGAGTTGCAATTCGCTTCCCACGGGCCATGCCTGAGTAAAAGTGAATAGACATACAAATTGCTAGCGATGCTCGAATGTTCAATTGCAGATGCTGCTGCCGCCGTTGCTGCAAAAATAATTTCACTACAAATTCTTTGGTTATCTTAATTAGCTTATAATTCGCGTGCGTTGCGCTGCAGCGTACATAAACTGGGCCAGTCGAAAAAACTCATCAAGCAGCACAAAAATAAGGCGGCGCTGCAATAAGAGAAACAGCCGCAAGCAGCAAGAAAGTCGCGCGTCGAGAATCCTATAAGCAGAAACCAAGCTGCCACAACAACAACAACAACTAACCGACTAACCTAGTAAGCGCAGAACTCGCTGAACGAGCTAGACAGCGAGTTCACAGTTTTGTGGAGTATTGAGTATCGAACCAAAAGCTGAAAATTATTGATGGCGCGTGCTGACACATTCAATTTGCCGGCCCTAAACGAAAGACTTAGGCAACGAACTTGACGCCATTAAACAACAGCAGCAACAACAACAACCACAACGAAAAACACCAACAACACGCAGCGCACGCACAGCTTAACAAGCTGACACAATTTCCTCGGGCGTAAAGAATATAAAAAAAAAAAAGAATTCAAATTTTTGTTTTAGGTGCCTCGTTGAGGTTGTTGTTTTTGTTTCTTTTAGAAAGTTGTTTCCATTTCACATATTTGGTTAAAGAAACAAACATAAAAAGATTCCATTTTCGATTTGTTGTTGTTGTCGTTATTGTTGCCTTTTTATGATTAATTCATTAAAGTTAAGAAATCAGCTCGTTCGCCTCGGCGCTGCCTCGCAGCCAGCAGTTAAAACTTCTACACAAGTTTTCACTTTTTTCTGTCATTTGACTAGGGAAACATATAGAAGATATATACAATATACGTTTTCGATTTGTTGTTTATGTTTATTTTTAAGCTAAGAAAATCACCTTCGGCCTCGTTTAGTGTCAGTTTCTTCACCAATTTTCACTTTTCTTTCTACTTCTTGTAGGCAAATTTTCACAGATTTCACACGCGCCTTAATTTACAGCTGCTGCTCTTCTCCGCCCAGATCGAGAGCAAGAGAGTAGTAGAGTTTTTTTTTCTTCTAGAAAATAAATAACTGTTCACAGCTGCCGCTTGCACACGTCTTAACGCTTTCAACACTCGCCGGCGACTGTTTTGCAGAGCTGCCTCAGCTGCTGCTGTTGCTGTTGCTGCGGCTAGCACTGCTACTGCCACAGTCGCTGCCTCTGCGGACTGCGCAGTTGGTTCTGCTGCGACGTGTTTACATTAAATTGCCAATTGTCTAATTGCTTTTCTTTTGCAGTTCGCTGAACCGTTAGCTTGGCATTAAAATTCACAATTTAAATTTACTAAATAGCTCGCACGTAATGCGGAAGCCTTAACATTTACGCCTCATTTACAAAGTTCGTGTCTTAAGTCATTTGTTTTTCTTTTTTTTCTTTTTATAACTCTAGTGGGTCAGGAAGCATACAGCCCTAACGGAAGCTTGACAAATATGCATAGCCAACTAGCTGCTGCCACGACTCGACAGCTTTTTTTTGCTTTCTGTGGGGTCAGAGCAAATCAATTTAATGAGCAGAGAGACAGAGGGGCAGCCAGACAAACTTTCGTTTTTGTTGCCAAACAGCCCTCGGCCGTGACTTTAACTGCACAGTTAGCGCCTGGCTCAACTCTAATTGAACTGCACTGGCTAAGCCGGCGGCTATTACACTATTAGAGGCGGGGGGTTTCGCTATTGTGAATTTTATTGTTATGGCTCTATCGTGGCGGGCGCAGCGTGAAAATCCTAAATAAAAGAGGCTTTAGTTCGGCGGCACTTTCAATTGCCACTTGAAGATTTTCTTCACACTTTCTTAGCACGGCCGCTGCATTTTATATTTCTTTTCACGCAATGCGTCTCAAGCCTACGCACATCATATTTATGTGCATCAAAACGTATTACCGCATCGCTGGCGTTTTAATTTATTGCAGCGTCATCAATCCGCAGCAAAAACTCACTTGATAAACTTTGAAAAGAAAAAAAACTTTTCCGCAGTGCCATAAAATGCAAAGTGCATGGCTAATTTGCGAATTACCGTCAAGTAATGTTATAAAGTTGTTGTCTAGCTTGTTGAACGACCAAATTGCGATCAGTCATAGCTGTTATCCCTTGATTGATGTTCCAGCTGTGCTCCACCTCTGTATTCCTCAATGCTGAAACAATGAGGAAAATGGCCGTGCGCTGCTTATGCAGCTGAACTTTTATGACTCAAATCGAACAGCTCATTAATATGCTGCCTAAATGCATAGCGTTTGGCTAATTATGCATAAAGTCTAGCTGAGAATATGTTTAGCTCTGATGCGTGAAACGGCTTCCGGCTTAATCAGGCTTCAAGGTAAGTAATCTTTGATGTATAGCTAATTTCGTATATGCTTAAAACCTACTTAAGTTCACTCTCAAGTCTTTTCAATATATACCTTACAAATAAGTAATATATTCACTTTTTAACTTTAAATATTTTGTATTTCAGTTGCTTAACGGACTAAGTTCACAAGAACCAGCTCTAAGTGGAACTCGTTGTCGTTGCCAGCTGACTACAGTTAGCTTGTGCACTTTGTTTCGGCCAGGTGGCAACCTTATTGGCAAGTGCGCTGCCTTGCCAGCTCGCTAAAAAAAGCTGTAACAGGTTTACCTTAGCTACACAGCTTTTGTCTTTGAATTTGTGCGGCAAAAGCTTTAAGATCTTGTAAAGTCTCGAAAAAACTGGTGAAGTTATGTGTTTACAGTGCTGGTAATAAAATAGTTTCACACCATATTTTTTTTGTCAAGATTAACCTTAGTTCATTTTTCCAAAATTTATCAACTTTTAGACGTATTATAGTCAACATAATATAACTGCAAATTAATAATTAAATATTTCTAATCAAATACACTCAGATCTTACAATTGGAATTAACCATTTACAATTGAAATGAAAGAGTAAATATGCATATATCATATTAGGCAATCAAATCAAAAGAACTGCTCATTCAGTCAAGCTGTCAATCAATTATAAAGACAACTAATCATTCAGTCAGTCAATCAATGAATTATAAGGACAACTGATTATCCAATCAATTAGTTAATCAATTACAAAGATAAATTGTCATTTCATCAAACAGTCAATGATATCTGCAGCCAATCAGTCAAGCAGTTAGAAGCAGTCAATCATATAGATATAATATTGATCATTCAGTCAATCAATTGCCAAGGAAACTAGCTATTCAGTCAAGCAGTTAGAATCAGTCAATCAAATAGATGTAATATTGATCACTCAGTCAATCAATGGCCAAGGAAACTGGCTATTCAGTCAATAAATCAACTACATACCCAATGAATCAGTTAATCAATTACAAAGACAACTGATCATTTCGTCAATAAAACTTTGCAAGTCAATCAACTAGATAGATAACTGCTTATTCAATCAATCATAATATAAACATTTCGATTGAACCGAATTTTCCACTGGTGTAAATATTAATTATATTTCGTGTTTAATTAATTTATTTGTACAATTATATATTTCTATATATATATATATATGTCGATAACAATAATATTAACTCCTATATAATATATATGAATAATTTTTGCAAACTAAGATCTGTGTGCCATATTGTGGTGCTGTTAACTCAACTAGGGCTACGATTGCGTAATGCGGCTCAACTTGGGAAAAAATGAATGTTTTAGATATAGACTAGAAGAACTAAGTGACTAATATCAACTAAGCACAAGTAGCGCCATTTAATTAAACATAGATCCTAAATCATAAAATCATAAAATAAACTGTGCATACAATATTTAGCATATATACAAGCGATTGAGCGATTGAGCTCAATCAAACAAGCGGGAAAGATACAGATTTAAAGATACAAAATACAAATAATACTGCTCGACAAGCACGCTAATTTCGAAATGGGAAGGACAGTTACATAGAGATGTGTGTGAGTGTGTGTGTGAATGAGCCTGATTTACATATATTAGTTGGTGGGCAATGGCGACGTGGTGTGCAGGTGGATGCTGATGGAGGTTTGGTGGATGGGGTGATTCAGTCAACGTCATATCTCGCACTCAAACTCTGAGATGCGATGGTTGAAGTAGACAACGCCATGCTCGAGATCCTCACTGAAGCCGCTCACATCCATGTAATCGGAGGCGGCGGAATCGTCCTCCACCCACTTGTGCAGCGAGCGGGTGATTTCCAGGCGCGACTGTGCGAAGGAGGGTCGCATATGCGGCTCCTTGTGCCAGCAGCGGGACATCAGATTGTAGAACTCGTGCCGGCTCTCCTTTGGCAGTTCCGGACGCAGGCCCTGCGGCACACGGCGAATGACCTCACGGCCCGTCAGGTGCGAGTAGGGCGTAGAGCCTGAAAGCATAAGACGAGATTAGCATACTCTACAGCATCGCCTCACACACTTCTATACCCAAGGTGGCAATCTCCCAGAGCACAATGCCAAAGGCCCAGATGTCCGTTTCGGTGGTGAACATGTGGAACTGTAGACTCTCCGGTGCCATCCAGCGTATGGGCAGTGCATGCCTTTTGCCAATTGTGTCGTGGCCATGATGCTTCTTCTCGGACGACGTTTGATCCTTGGAGCAGCCGCCGGCTGGCTGGCCAAAGGTCTGCTGCCAGTGCTGCAGTATGTAGCGACTGCCAAAGTCGAATTTGAATTTGTGCGCATTGCTGCGCATTATGTCGTTCGCAGCATTCTTCTCCTGCTCCTTGCGCATGCGCTCCGCATCCAGATCAATGGACATGCCAAAATCGCAAATCTTGCACATGCCATTGTGATCGAGCAGGACATTGCGCGCAGCCAGATCGCGATGGACAATCTGTTGGGAGATGAGCAGATGCGGTAAGTGTTTGACTCGCCAGAGAAGCTGGGAATAGAGCTCACCCTGTGCCCGGCTATGTACTCCATGCCGCAGGCAATATCCAAAGCAAAGCCCGCTAGAGTGCGCGGCGAGAGAGGCGCCAGGCTGCGTCCACCTGGCACTGAGGCGGGCAGAATATTCGTGGCACTACGTGCGGCACGCAGCAGCGAGAGCAGACGTCCGCGCATCGCATACTCCATGATTAGCATGTGGGGCTCTTTAACAATAAATAAAATGGAATAAGATAAAATTCAATTTAAGATTAGATTTTGAGTATCAATACATACCGCTCTCGACGCATGCTCCCAGAAGTGTGACCACGTTCTGATGGGAGCCCAGCTTGCGCATGATGTTGGCCTCATCCTTGAGGCTCACCTGGGCGCTGCAGGCGCGTATGGTCTTTACAGCCACAATCCTTGTGGCGCCAAAGTGTCCACTCAGATCATCAGCCTCCGCCTTCCACACTTGGCCAAAGTTGCCCTCGCCCAGAAGACTCTTCAAGCGTATGTTGCTGCGCTCGAACTCGTGATACTCGCTGGCCAAGGACGATTTGTCCTCGTAGCGATTGTGATTCGCATCGCGCTGTAAGTGCTGCTGCTGCTGCTGCTGCTGTTGCTGATGATGATCGACCTCATCTTCGTCCAGCTCTAGCTGATATTTGGAGTCCACTTTCTTCACCGGACTTATGGGCTGCTGATCTGTGATGCACACATCGAACACGTCGTCCTGCTTGGCCTGCCTTCGCACCACATAGTTGCGCACCATATACATGACAATGGCTACCAGTGGCACCACACCCACCGCCACCAGCACCAATGTGACCAGATTCATGCGCCGCATCTCCATGCCCACGTCGCGCTCCTCTGCAATAGCTGTGGAGCTAATATCAGAGGCAGCTGTGGAGGAGGAGGCAGAGGACTCCACAATTCCAATGAAAACATTGCCAATGGGCGCCTTCACCGGACTTGCTGGACTGGTGGTGCGTGGATTGACCGTGGAGCGCACAGATGTCAATACTGTGGTGCGCAGTATTTTGGAGCCCGAACTGGAGTCGGTGGTTGGTGCGTACTGTGTGGTGCGTGGTGTCGCCTCACAGTTGGCGGTGCTGTTGCAAAAGATTATCAAATTATTCTGATCCTCGATGTTGATCTCCTGCGTGAGTGACGGTCCTAAGGCGCGCAGTCGTTCCTTATCCTCCTCGATGATGGTCATGTGCTTGGCCGACAGTGTGGTTGTGGTGGCAGCTGTGGTTGTCACTGGATTGCTGGTGGTTGTAGTGGTGCTCGTTGTCGTGCTTGTCGTCGTCGAAGGCGTAGTGCTCGTCGTTGTGGTGCTAGTAGTTGTGCTGCTAGTCGTTGTTGTGCTTGGCCTTTTAGTGGTACTAGGTGGTTCGGTGGTGGTGGTTGTAGTTGAGGTTGTGCTTGTGCTGGTGCTTGTCGTGCTCGTTGTGCTGCTGGTGGAGCTAGTGCTGCTTGTGCTCGTGGTGCTTGGCTCTGGCTGCACCTCGGGCACCACTTGCCCCATGGTTGTCTCATCCTCAGCGCTCAGCACTGTGATTATGAGTGGTGTAGAGGATGTCTGTGGCTTGGTAACCACTCGACGCACCACCACAGGCTCCGCTTCAGCTGACTTCTGCTCCACTGAACTCTCAGCCAAGCCGGCTGTGGGTCGCCCAGAGCCCACGTAGCGTGTTCTGCTAATAGCAACTGGTGGAGCAGCTGCTGGTGCAGCTGGTGGTGCAACAATACCACGCTCACGCATGTGATATTTATAGCGACTGCGACTACGCTCCACAGCAGTTAGTGGGCGGCGCGTTGAGATGGTGGGCTTCACGGTGGACTCTGTTGTTGGCTCCGCCGTGGTGGTGCTGGTGGTGGTGCTGCTGCTGATCTGACTCACAGAAATCTCCAGCACGCGTGGATGCTCATCATCGCCCTCGGCGGGGGTGATAGTCAGTGCGCCAGGTTTGATAGGCGGCAGCTTAGAGCCAAAGTAAAGATACGGCTGCAGCTCTCCATCCTCTTCCTCCTCATCGTCCTCCTCCTGCGTTTGCTGCAGCGAGGCCACTGGCTTGCCACGGCCACGCTGCTTAACAGCGCCATCCGCTATGTGGTTAAGCGTATCGTTCTGCTCCTTGGCCACCACAAAGAGTCCATGCGACGACTCATCGCTGAAGAGGATCTCATTGGTGTCCCTTTCCCCCGTGGCCACCGCCGCCTTGCTAGGCGCACGCAGCACCACAGAGCTGCTGTTATTGCTGCTGACAGTGCCAGCCATAGCCATGCGCGTGAAATTGGCGCATTGCCGCATGCAGCTGGCGGTGGTGCGACGTGTGAAGTTCTTGGTGCAGTTGCGTATGCACACGGAGCGTGGATCGCTTGGCGCCTTCGAAGTGCTCTCCACGGCAGCCGATGGAGAGGTGGCGCTGCGTCCGGTCGTACCGATGCGATTGCGAAAGTTGCCACGGTGCAGAGCCGTGCGACGAGCAGCCAGCACATTCAGCAGCTTGCGCTCTCGCTCCTGCGCCGAGCTCTGTGTGGCAATCGAAGGGCGATTGCTGCCTGTGGGCCGGTATGTGGTGGGCTTCTCGGCAACCACATCTGCAAAAGGTACAAGAATAGAGTGGTTTAGTAAAGCAGCGCAACGAGTATGCTAAAAAGCCGCTTCTGGCCAAAGTCGCGTATACTTGATGCCAGAATCGTGACACGTATTGGAAAAGCAAATCGCGTTTGGGAAAAATAAACAGCGCTAAATCAACAAAAACTCGTTTCGATTCGATTGCCAACTTGACAACTGGCCAACCACAATTGTGTTAAGCGGTGCGTTTTCAAATACCCTAGACATGCCGATAACTAATAGGATTACCTAAGTGAAGCCAGCCTCAACGACGTGGAGTTAGATTCTAGCTCGAGTGTGTGTTACAGAGCATCTGCTAGTCGATCAGATGCGAAATTGGCAACTTCAACTAGCTTCGCTAAGGCATTAACAAAGTTTCGACTAAGCTTCAACTGGTTCACAATGCGTTTTCTGGGCAGCCTCTTGACATGTTTGGCCCCCGGTGGGGCAACAGCTGAGCCAGTGTTTGAGTAATTAGTTAGCCACAAATTGGTGGGTTGCCCCTCGGGCGAAACAGCTGCCCATTGTGTGCAGTGCACATTTGGACAAATGTTGAGGCGGCTGCTGCTGCTGCTGCTGATGCTGATGCCGATGCTGCGGCTGCTTGGTACATGAATCATGGAGGCGATTATCAGGCGGCTGCTTGCGCAATTGTTTAATTTTCGCGTTGCCATTAAAACTGCCAAAACGACTGGCAAACTCGCAACACAGCCAACAATGTTAGCAAACAAATTGTTGTTGCTGTTGTTGGCTGTTTTTCACAAGCATTTAGTTCATTGGCTTGCAGTTTAGGCCAAGGTTAGGCCTGGCATCTCAAGCGCGGCGCAGCGACTAGAACCAGCGACAAAAGCCAAGCCGCGATGCCGCCGCCGCCGCCGCTGTTGCCGCTGCAGTCGCCTTTTGGCCAAGTCTTGTATTTTCGGTTGACGTTTTATGGGGGGACTCGAGCCTCGAGCCGACGAGCTGCTCCATTGAGTGCGCCTCCATGGCTGCCTATTTCACAGTATTGCTTTAGAGCATGGTGCGCCCCATTTGGGCGTCTTGTCACGTCGCGTCGCTGCCTTCAACAGAACCAACAGCAACAACAACAACAACAACACAAGCAACAAATACAAAATAAAACTGCCATTTTTGCTCTGTGTTGCGAGACGCGGGCGTTGTTGCTGTGCCTATTTAATGAATAAAATAAATACCCTAACTCAAGGAATATGCACAAAGAGATACGGCTTGGTATGCAGACAGTGCGTTATGTTGAGGCAGATCGGGCTCTAAGTCAGTGAGAAAGAGAGATGGAGAGAGAGAGAAGAATTAAAAGCAGAAAAGTAAAGGGATAGATAAGACAGAGACAAATAGAGAGAGAGGGAGAGAGAGAGATAAGTTGAAGTAGAGGTAGCATGGGGAAGAAACGAAGATAGGAAGCTGAGATGAAGACAGCAATAGAGACAGTGTCTGGATTTGAGAGAGAGAGAGAGGGAGAGTAGACAAGAGTATAGAAAGAGAGAGTATAGGCAGAGTAGAGATAGAGTAAAGATATAATAGAGAACGAGTAGATAGAGAGAGTAGAGATACAATAGAGAGAGTGAGAGAGAAGAAGTAGTGCAGAGATAGAGTTCAAAAGTAGAAAAGAGTAAAGCACGCGAGAGCAGAGTAATGTCGACTAAATGACACTAATTAAGTTTAGCAGAAGAGTAATCAAAAGTCGACGATTGCTTAATTTGATGTATTTGTTTTAGTAGTTGTTGCTGTGCTGGTAGTGGTGTGGTATTTGTCGTGGTGCAGTCAGACAATCGTCAATCCACTTGGCCGCGCAACTTCTTGGCATTAGCTATGCTGTCGCTGCTGCTGCGCTGTCTCTAGCTCTGCTGCTTGGCATGCGCTGCGGAATTTTAATTTGAATTTGGCCAAAAGACACGATTTTGTTTTTGGGCAGCGGCTGCACGAAGCAGCGAACCAAAACGAACGAACGAACCAACCGCACAGCCAACAAAATGGTCAACAAAGCGCAAAAGCCAAAACTCAAAACAGAATTCGCTTTTGGCCAAAAAGCAGGAGAAAAAAAACACAAATTCTAAGCAGCTTAGCCAAGTCAAGTGCTTACATAATGCCAAAAAAAAACATTCTGAGAGCGGTATATTAAATCCCATGACTAATGCCAATATTTACTTAGACTTGCGGCCAAAAAAGTGCTGCTGTTGATGTGAAATTTAATTGCTGGCAATTTGGCACAATGGGCGAGCATTCAGTTAAGACCGGGTTCTACTTCTCTTCTGCTCATGGACAATGCCACAAGGCTCCCACGAATCGGCCTTTGGCTGCCTTAAGCCATTACCTGATGGCAGAATAAAAGTCAAGTTTTAATTACGAATTACGCGAGTCAACAATTGAATGCGAGACTATACATATATATTTATATACATAATATATATATATATTATATAGAGAGGTACAATTGCTTGTCGCTTGAATGAATCGCATGTCTTTTCTTTAGAACTTTTAATTAGAAATAAATTACGAACATGAGTGGGCTGCCGTTTGTTCTATCAGTTGGCTAATTGACAACCTGACAGACTGACAAACTGACTACAAAAATTGCAAGCACAATAAATACACTCGGACACACTGAGACAATTGCTGTGTTTGCCTAAAATTTTGATAGTATTTAATGGCGCCATATTAAATATTATGAAATGACATGCAATAGGTATCTTACATACATACATTTAGCTATATATGTATTTATATACATACATCTTTATATACGTTTTCATATGACACAAATATCAATCATACGCAACGTTGCACATGGCAACACAAATTAAAGAGTGGCTCACATTTGGCCCACAATTTGGCAATTCTACATAAACTGCAAAAGTTAACTAAAGCAAAAACATTTTTTTTTAATTTATACAAACTTAAAGACATTTCAGACAGATATAAAGTGATATAGATTGAGCAATAATAAATTGGCTTAAATTTTGTTTTATATATAAATAAGCAAGATATAAAAAAAAATAATTAAAAACGTGATAATGATGATAAGCTTCCACATTTCCAGTAAAGTGTCGACAGCCTAAGCCAATTTCTAGAACAAATCATTCTCTTCTGATCATCTTCAAATAGTGCTTTAATTGTATTCAGTATAAGGCAAAGAGCAAATATTTTTCGAAAGTTTCTTCTCTCTCAGTTCATATAGGATACATAGTCTGTAGACTAATAAAAATAATTTTGTTCCACTTTGGAATTTAAAAAATATGTCGAAAATAATCTATAAAAAATGTAATTTCAGAGCAAAATGAAATTTAAAAGTTTTCCACTTTGGAACAAATAAAAAATTTCCACTCTCAGCCTAAGCCCACTTTAACCAGCTTTCACTGTGCAGTCCAATTCGTTGTTATTCAATAGAATTAATTGAGTTTTAACAATTTTCGCTTAGCACAATGACAACAAGCTATACTAATCCACTCTCAGCATTGTTTGCAAATGACTAAAAATAAATTTGATTTGCTTTGCATGGATTTCTATACTACATACATATATATATATATATATATATATATATATATATATATATATATATATTTATTTATTAGAAGCTAGACTACAGACGGTAGAGTTAAAAAGCTAACGTTCATTTAATGCCCGACTTCCACGCCTTGGCCCTGAAAGCTTGTGCGGCTCTTTATAAGCTAAAACAGTTTAAGCCACATGCGGCTTTAGATGCAGAGCAAAACAAATGTGACTAATTGTGAATCATTTCCGCCACACTCACACACACACACACAAGCGCGCGCAATTGCAGAAATACAATTCAATAAAAGCAAAATTGAGTAAAACTTTCATTAATTCATTGCCGCTAATTCATGTGGCGACTGCCGCAGCTCCAATTCGCGCTTCATCTTCAGCTTCACTTTTGCTTTCTTGCCTTGCAGCCTGCTCATAAATACAATTTTTAAATGCCGCCTTGGCCAAAACGAAACTTTCTCTGCGCGCTTTCGTTGCAGTTTGCTTGCAATTTCTTTTATACCCAGCAATAAGTGTCTGTGTGTACGAGGGGCATATAGGTTGAGATGTAAGCAATAAGCAATAATAATAAATAAATATCGTGTAGCTTAGCAGATTAAGAGAGCAAACAAATTCTTGAGATGGAATTCTGATTTAGGCGTATCACGTCAAAGTCTTTTATGGATTCTTCTGCTGTATTCATAAAGTGATTTATGGCTAATTTGTAAATACATTAAGAAGTCTTTTGATGTACTTTTATGATACCAGCTCTGGCTAAAATGTATGCATAGTGTTGAAGCAGGGATAAAAATACGTGTAGCTCGAAAACACTTTATAGTCATGCATGAACTTTAGACGCTAAACAGACAACAGCTTAACAAAGAGATTAAAATATATTTAAATTATATTATACATGTCCTCTATAGCCATTAACAGGGTATTCGCTAATCTTTTTCTTCACAACTGTAGCTCGCTCTATGCGCTGCACCCTACAGCGTCTAGTTGCCTTTGCCCGTCTGCCCGCCATTCACTTCAGCTGCAGCTCCGTCTCCATCTTCCTCGTCGTCTGCGCCTCTGTCTCTGTCGCCCACTTCAGTTGCAGCTCCGGCTCTGGCCATGTTCATGGCATTAACTTGTTTTGCTGGCCACCGCCGCCATGCACACGACACGTTTTGGTTGGGGCGATCGAAAGCATTTCTAATGTGAAATCGAAACATGCAACAAAATGCCAAAAGCAGCGAAAACTGTACAAGCCCAGCAGGCGAGAGTGGGAGCAGACGGCGCTGCAATGAAGCAACAGCAGCAGCCAAGACACTGCCAAAGTTGGCAGTTCATGTGCGTGACATTTTGCTAAAGAAGGAGTTAAAGTGGAGCTGGTTGGGCCTAGGTGCAGTTGTATGCAGGAAATACGACAGTTGCCGTTGCAGACGTGAGAAAGCGAAAGAAATGCCAAAGGTAAAAAAAATGCAACTAAAAGACGTTG